CTCTCCTTCAAACACTTGGATAGTTACAGCTGGCTGGTTGTCTGCGTAAGTGGTGAAGGTCTGAGACTGTTTGCAGGGTATCCTGGAATTGCGTTCGATAATCTTAGTCATGACTCCTCCTGCCGTTTCTATGCCAAGGGACAGCGGTGTTACGTCAACTAACAGGACATCTTGGATTTTGGAATCGGTTTCTCCGCTGAGAACGGCGGCTTGTACTGCTGCACCGTAAGCTACAGCTTCGTCTGGATTGATGGAGAGGTTCAACGGTTTTCCGCTGAAGTAATTTTGGAGGAGCTGTTGGATTTTGGGGATTCTAGTGGAACCTCCTACTAAAACAACATCGTGTATTTGCCCCTTATCCATTTTAGCATCGTTCAGTGCTTTCTCAACTGGCTCTAGAGTCCCTCTGAACAAATCGGAGCACAGTTCTTCGAACCTGGCTCTGCTGAGTTTGGTATAGAAATCTGTGCCTTCAAAGAGGGCATCAATTTCTATTGTAGCCTCTGTGCTGGATGATAGTGTTCTCTTAGCTCTTTCAGCTGCTGTTCGTAGGCGACGTAACGCTCTGGGGTTGCTTCTCAAATCCTTCCTGAACTTCCTCTTGAATTCGTCTGCCAGATGATTGACTAGGCGGTTATCGAAGTCCTCTCCACCGAGATGGGTGTCCCCAGCTGTCGCTCTCACCTCGAACAAAGACCCTTCGTCGATGGTCAATATGGAGACATCAAAGGTACCTCCACCCAGGTCGAAAATGAGCACATTCCTTTCACCTTTCAAGTTTTTGTCCAGGCCATAAGCTAGGGCTGCTGCAGTGGGCTCGTTTATGATCCTCATCACGTTCAGTCCAGCGATGGCACCTGCATCTTTGGTCGCCTGTCTCTGGGAATCGTTGAAGTAGGCTGGCACTGTAACGACTGCATCTTTGATGGGCATGCCTAGATAAGCCTCTGCTGTTTCCTTCATTTTCGTCAACACCATCGAACTCACTTCTTCGGGAGCAAACGTTTTTCTCTCGCCTTTGAAGACTACTTGGATTTTCGGCTTGCCGCAATCGTTGACAACTTTGAAGGGCCAGTGCTGGATGTCCTGTTGGATCTTTGGATCATCGAACTTGCGGCCGATCAGCCGTTTGGCATCGAAGACGGTGTTGCTGGGATTCATGGCCACCTGATTCTTGGCAGCGTCTCCGAGAAGACGCTCTGTATCTGTGAAGGCAACATAGCTGGGAGTCGTCCTGTTGCCCTGGTCGTTGGCGATGATTTCCACTTTTCCTTGTTGCCACACACCAACGCAGGAATAAGTTGTTCCCAAATCGATACCAATTGCTGGAACTTTCACCATTTTGATACTTTAATATAGTCTAGATTCACTTCGAAATTCTCTAAGCACTGTAGATATATTGTATACTTTGTATGTATCAACAGATACCAAGACTTTGTTGCTCGTTTGCTGTCGTGAATGAATGTTCACTTCTCGCAGTTTTCAAATCAACTGATTCGACCGCCGAAATGAGGTGCTTTTATATGAACGGCGAAGTCGTCGCGATTGGTCTCGAACATTTTCGAAGCGATTCGAACAGACTGGAAAATTCTGTGTGGATCGCTTGCGTCGCTCGACCTTACGGGTAAAAGTCAGTTGGGCAAGAGGCAATATCTTAAATTTTCCTCTTTGGAATTATTATTAAAAAAACTAAATACTATTCAGAGACGAAAATCATAATACAAATTCATATTTTCGCAGGATTTGATTATTTTCGTGTGTACCCTGTGAGACCTACAGTGCTTTCGTAAAGTACTTATCTTAGGTCTGAATCCACCTTTGTCTGGTAATGATGTCCGTGTCCGTGACAATTTTTTCAAATAATGGAACATCCTATACATAATTATGGTGTAGATAGGATATTGCCATTATAAGAAATGCATATTTTTCAACGTAATTACCAAGATACATGGTCGTGTTACTTTCTTAGCCATAATTGATTCACCTTAAGGTTTGTATCTCTCCAATCTTGATAAATTTTCCTGAAATGTTTATACACTCAGTCTACTAATCGGAATTAATTTTCTGGAATACCAAATGTAACCAAATTCCAGGCCCGGACTTGGAGAATTTCAATCCAAGATCTATTGGAAAAAGGACACTCTTTACATTGGAATTTTCGATATCTGCCTATTATTACTGAAACAACATGTATTAATGAACAAAGAACTAGTGAATAACTCCTTTGGCCCATTTAATGTACCTTCAAAATGAAACATTGCTTTTCGATAAACATATCATCTATTCATTTCATTCTAATTGAAAATGAACAAAAATTAAAGGAAAAAAATATCACGATAAATTCCAATCGAGATTATAATCATTTGAAGATTTTGTCTAATTTTCAATACGGTTTAACAACTGTTCTCTGTTTCCAATGGGATCACTGTAGGCCTTTCGTTTCAAATGTTCCCACAAAAAATAATTGACAGGGTTGAGATCAGGCCCTCCTTTCTCTAGCAAACCAGGCAAAATATTTTGGAGAAAATTCATATGAACAAAGCGCTCCTCAATTTTTGAGGAAATGCATAAGGTTGAATTTATGAATAATTGTTCATCAAACCACACCGACCATTAATTGAAAATTTTTGTTGGGAATGGGCTTGTCTTACTGTGTGCGGATTTTCTTTTGTCCACACATGAGAATTTCTTGAATTAAACATACCGTCAGAAAGTAAACTTCGATTAGTAGACTTGGTGTATAAAATTTCAGGAAAATTGATCAAACGATTGGAAAGGTAGATTATGGCTGAAAATGTAAGGTGAACCCTTTATCTTGGTAATTACGTGGCTCGTGGATCACCCTGTATATTATTCAATTTTTGGAATCCTCTTGAGAAGATGAAATCGAAAATATATTACACATAGGCCTGGTATACATAGATCATTTTTAGCCAAACTATCCATTTCTGAAGAATATCCTGAAACACGTTGATTTTTTAGCCACGTTTATGTCGGAAAATTGAATATACAGGGTGATCCACGTTCGAGTAATGACGTCCGCGACTATTTTTCAATGGGAACACCCTATATATTATTCAGTTTTTGGAATACCCATGAATGGAATTCAAAAATATATCACACGTAGGGTTTGTACACAGTGCGTCCGTTAATAACAGTGCTCAGGTGAAATGCGATTGCCATTAAAAATTAGCGATGACCATATGACTTAGTCTCTCAAACACGATTCATTCTGATGTGGTATGAATTGATTGGATTTGAAAGAATGACGAATGAAAATGAAATTCGACGACTTCGGGCGTTCTTATTTCCAAAACATTATTCCTAATTTTCAACAGATGCCTCTCTCACTTTGAATTCGGGTTCCCAAAGGGATGCCTTGCGGTGTGGTCGTAGAAAATCGTTATGAAAATTTTTATCCGAATAAGATATAATAAACAGGCTGTCCCGTTTGAAAAAGTTTCCTTTTCAATTTCTACTGTACACTAACCCTGTTCATTTCTGATATGGATGAGCAAATGATTTTTCGAAAAACAAAATTGAACTGTGAGAATTTTTCACACACTCTCTATGCATATATTCTCTTATTGACAACTCAAATTACAATACGAAATAAGTCGTAACTAGACATTTGTACAGGGTGTCTCTAGATTTCTTATACAATAAGCCATATTTCCATCATGAATTAAAGAGAAAAGATGAAAAACCGACATTGTCAACATGGTTGAAAAAGGAAGTATTTTGGACTCCACCTGAGTCGCAACAATATTTTGCGACTCCAGTGATCTATTCACTTTTTATAAAGTCGTATAGCGATTCTCTTATAGAAAATAAAGAACATCTCTGAGATGTTGTGATGAGGCTACACTGCGATATCACGAATGTTGCATCGCTGCGATGTACAGAAGCAAAATCATCTGCGAGGATTATTCAAGAATTTGTTATTTGGATTCCTGTTCGGTGTAAAACTGGAGCTAAATTCGCAAACATTCGTTACATTGCTATCAAACACACAATTTTTGATACGAGTAACTGATCTCAGTCTGATAGAGATTCGTAGGTACCCGTCACAACAACACATAATCAATATATTAGATGTCTTCAGAAGTCAGTGGTGTACCTATATTATCACACCATGTTTGAAGACACTTTTTTTTCGTTTTACTGCGATATCTGTCAGATCTCGCACAACATCGTAGTTTTATCGCAAAAACACGTCGATTTTCCATCACAAATAAGATATCGCAATTACATTGCAGAAAATCTGTCGCTGTTATATCGCAGAGAACTATTATCGCAGCGGCGTCGTATGGATCAAACTTGATTGGGATGAAATTAATTCACTCTGACATCGTAGCGACGTTAATGCTGCATAGAATGCGATATCTCAGGTCAGGTTAGGTCGCTGCGATATCTCTGAGATGTAACTAGCTGTGTTTGCTGGGTCTCTACGGTATTTATTGTTATATAATTACTATCACTATGTGAGCTGAGTCACTGTTTGACGTATGAGCAACTATTATTCGATCCGAATGTACCTATACCAACCATCTCTGCAATGGTACCTAGGTATAGCAAAAGTAGGTACGATCGACTAGTATTGACTATACATAGTTATTATAAAACTTCATCAGATGAAAATCAATTCGATACTTAGTACACATACCATGTTCCATAATTTTACATGAATAAAAATAATCAATTTGAGTGAATAGTTATAAAATTATCACTTCAAAGAATATCCCAGAAAAGATTAAATTATCGAAATTTACCCAGTTGACTTTTGCCGATTCCGGACTCCGTGCGTGACTCACTAAATTGTTTTCTAGAATTTCTAGACACTTCCAGAGGACGCTTCAAGCTTCGAACTGTTCGATCGACGGCATTCGACGTCTTCAAAATAATCATCAGTTCTACCAATCTTGGTTCGACCATGATCGATTGTTCGATACCTCAGATTCGATACTCTTCGATGGATAAGATTTCAACTGGCTGATTACCCTAATGATTAAGTCGAACCATACAGATAAATTTCATCATAAAATAAGAATGTAACCTACAAAGAAGTTTGGTTAGAATTTGGAGTGGTATCACTAGTATCTTCAACACCTCCATATGGGACTTCTCGTGGCGAAAGTTGTGTGCTGAGTCAACGTATACGTTTCATAAGGATTTCCATCTCAGATTCTTTATAATCTTCATAAAATGGCTATGATAATAACATGTAATAGATCCAGTCCTCCTTTAGGTTTGTAATGTATATAATGATTGTGTAGCATTCTCATTAGCAAAAATTCTTTCAGGGGGTCTGTTTGTTGTCGAATATGTTAAAATTTTAAAGAAAGTTAATTTCGAAATTATATGGACTGATGAGGCAGTGGATAATAAATTCAGTAATAGTAATAATTTAGCAAGATCCATTGCAAACTCTTTCAGCCCTGACCTACGAGGATCTACTGTTACTGAAATCACTGAGGTAGATCATTGGCTAAGCTTGTCATTGGGACCCTTGAATAAAAAGGGTGAATTTGTTAGTGCCCTTGATATTTTGAATAGATCACTGGGACCTGTGACTTATTTGGTTGGAAAAAGTCTCACAATTGCAGATTTTGTAGTGTTTTCATCATTATATGGTAAATAGTGTACTCACTTATAGTTAGAATGAGTAGGCAATTCTTGAATATCTACTTCTTTTAGTGAGTAGGCAATGGTCAGAGCAGCTATCTTCTAATTCAGCTCCAGTCAATGTCCTGAGATGGTATAATTTTATGAAAGCCCAAAATTGTGTACAGAACACACTCAATTCTCTTCCTTCAGAAGTAGTTGCAATTTTAAGTTCAGTAAAAACTAGTAGGCTATCAGTTGAACCCTCTAAAACTAGTACTAGAGCTCAAGAAGGAAAATTTGTAGAATTACCAGGTGCAGAAATGGGCAAGGTAGTTGTCAGATTTCCACCTGAAGCTTCAGGGTAAGTTCCAATTTCACCATACTATTATTTGGTAGTTATAAATAAATGAAAATAAATAATAGTAAGAAAAGAATTACCACATGTGAAAATATTGTATCTGAGAAGATTCCAGCAGTATTCAATTATGTGAATCTGGATTCATGGAACAACTCAGATCTCAACTCAAATTCAATGCTGGTATGAGATAAGGGATACAAATGTTCAAGAAATTTATTTGATTCTATCTTCCACATTGTGGCTTGATTTAAAATGGAAGTGGCCTGCATTTATATTCAATTTCAAATATGTATGTGAGATTTTCATATTTTCAGCTTCCTACATATAGGACATGCTAAAGCTGCATTACTAAACCAATATTACCAAGAAGCCTTTCAAGGAAAATTGATTATGAGATTTGATGATACCAATCCTGCCAAAGAAAATGTCCACTTTGAAAAAGTTATTTTAGAAGATGTGGCAATGTTACAAATCAAGTATGACATGTTCACACATACCTCACAGTACTTTGACTTGATGTTGGATTACTGTGAGAAACTTTTGAGAGAAGGGAAAGCTTATGTTGATGATACTGAAGCAGAAACAATGAAAGCACAAAGGGAACAGAGAATTGATTCAATAAATAGAAGCACCTGTATGCACTCAAATAAAAAAAAGAAATCTTGTATTTAACTATTTTTTTGTAGCTGTTGATGAAAATTTGAAACTATGGGAAGAAATGAAGAAAGGCTCAGAAAAAGGACAGCAATGTTGTGTGAGAGCAAAAATTGATATGCAATCTCCAAATGGTTGCATGAGGGATCCAACTATTTATAGATGCAAGAATGAACCCCATCCTAGAACAGGGGATAAATATAAGTAAGGTTCTGCTCATTCACTATTCCCAGTTATTTACATACTGTTCTTACAGGGTGTACCCAACTTATGATTTTGCATGTCCCATAGTAGATTCAATTGAAGGAGTAACACACACACTCCGTACAATGGAGTACCATGATAGGGATCCACAATTCTATTGGTTTATTGAAGCTTTAGGTTTGAGAAAACCTTATATCTGGGAATACAGCAGGTTATCCATGACAAATACAGTTTTGAGTAAGAGGAAGCTTACCTGGTTTGTTAATGAAGGCTTGGTAGATGGCTGGTAATTATAAAAATTATTCTATTTTCTTATGCTAAATATTCATTGTTAGGAATCCTTCATTTTGTTAGGGAATAAACTTTTCAGGCAGGCACTTTAGAATACACTCATTAAGAATATTTTCAGGGATGATCCTAGAATGCCTACTGTAAGAGGTGTTTTAAGAAGAGGAATGACAGTACAAGGGTTGAAAGAATTCATTATTGCACAAGGATCTAGTCGTTCTGTAGTATTTATGGAATGGGATAAAATCTGGGCATTCAACAAAAAAGTAAATATACTCAGTGAAACAAGTAAAAACACAAATACAAATTACTGATACTACAAAACCTAGAAGCTAATATTACCATTGGATTAAATATCACTATTTACCAGTAAAATAATTGACCTATAGTACTTCCAGATGAGAATATATATCATATTGTGAAGTAGGGACCTTCTCATTTTAATTATTTAATTTTTCTTTCTATAAATTCTATAGTTCATTGAACTCTCCAGCAGCAATGAGAGGATGGTCTTACAATGATCACTGCTTAGATCTCTGTTGTGCTGAATATCATTACACTGTTTCGGGACTTTTTGGAAATTTTTAAGTTTTACATTTTTAATATAATTAAAATTCAAATATATGCAAAAATGAAGAACATTATTTCAAGTTTTTTTTTAATTGGTGCCTACTTACCTATTGTTAAGTCGTTGATTAATCACAAATAATTTTTTTTGAACAAAATATATTTTTTTCCATAATTACAAAACATAAATTTTAACTGAAAACATTATTAACAGCCAAATTCTAACAGTGAAAATAACAGCCAAATTCCCTTCCCTGTCATGGATAAGTATACAGTTTACATAAAATTATAGTGAAAAACTTGAAACTTAGTATTCATAATTTATTTTATTGAGATTATGGTGAATAAATAAAAGCTTTTCGGCATCTTCAGAGTTTAGCCTACACCTATTATCAACAAATATATTACCAATTTCTGAAAATAGACACTAGTTGCAGGGATCCCCGACTTCTTTTTAATTTTTTTATTATTGGCAGGTACATGGCTGCTATTCTCCAATTGAATGAGTAGAATTGTTTCAATTTTGTTAACGCTGATTAAACATTAATTTTTTAATAAACAGTAATTTCTATCTAGGTAAAAATAATGGTAATTAACACTCTGCATACTGTAGCTAGTTTAAAAAAAAAGTAAAAATAAGCCAGCCTCAATATTTTCAATGTTTTACTTATAAAAATAGGCATGCACATACATTTTAAATTTAGGTCCCGATCCGGCCGGAATTCCGGTTCCGGTCGGATCGGCAAAATACCCGATCCGGTGCATCCCTATCATATATTTTTAATCTTAGGTAATTGATCCCATAGCCCCACGATATACTGCTTTGGAATTTTCGGAACCTGTGCCTGTGATAGTTGAAGGTGCCAAACAAGAATGTTTGACAGTGCCAAAGCATCCCAAGAATGCAGAAATAGGTACAAAAGAAGTGTGGGTGGGGCCCAAAATACTCATTGATTTAGTTGATGCTGAATGTCTCAAGGAAGGAGAAAACACTACCTTCATCAACTGGGGTAACTTACTCATAAAAAAAATCAACAGGTGAGAAATATACGAAAAATATACTGGTGGCCTTGAAAATATCTATTTTAGGCAAAACGGTAAAATCATAAATGTGGAAGCAAAAACAAACCTAGAAAATAAGGATTATAAAAAAACTTTGAAATTAACTTGGCTAGCTGATGTAGAAAGTGTTCCATTCACACCAGCTTGGTGTGTTTATTTTGATCATATCATAAATAAGGCTGTTCTTGGTAAAGATGAGGATTTCAAGCAATATATTGGCCATGAAACAAGGGTAAGATGAAAAATGATTTGAAATAAATTCAAGTATATTGAACCTACCTATTGTTTTCTAAGCTGTCTTGTATCTTCCAACCTCAATTTTATGTACAGAGTGTGCTAAAGTTGATATCTCAGCTCTATCATAACAACTGGAAAAACAATAGAAACATCTGAAATGAGGTTTTAAAATGGGATCCAGTAAGATCAATTTTATGCCAAATTGCATATTTTCATATTGAAAACTGAAGTATTGACCACATCTAATTTATTTTCTCAAAATATCCCTTATTTGAAAATAGCTTGAACATTTTTTGGGGAACAAAATTTCAAAAAAAAAATTTCAAATAAAAACTGTTGAATACTAAAAAAAAAAAATATCCTCGCCGATAACAAATTTAAAATATAAGATTTTGCCATAAAAATATGTAGAGTTCTCTAAGTTTTGTTTTCATCTCTCCCTCCCAAGCAACATATTCACCCATGAAATAAGTAGCATGGACAAACAAAAGAAAAGAAAAAAGGAAAAAAAGGAACAAAGGAAACAAATTCCAGGATTTTTCATACATTTTTCCTGACAAAGTCCTATGATTACGTTTATTTTTTTCATTCACAAAATCTGTTTGAATAAATTAGCTCTCTTCAAGTAGGCCAAGATGTAGGCATGATTCTGGAAAAAATAATTTAATGATGTCATTACTTCAGTTTTCAAATTCGGATAAATATGAAGTTTTTCTTTTGTATAACTTTTTCTAAAAATAGAGCTGTGAAATGGATTCTTGCTCACAGGAAAACATCCAATCACTGGCATAGATCGAAAGTGAGACTTGTTTTCCTGTAGTTTTTAGTGTCATCAGAATGAAATGTACACAAGGTGTGTGATCAAAAATCCAAAAGTTGACATAGATGACAAATACCTAACATTTTGAGGTCACCTTCATCAACATCAGTTGTCAATCTAGCATAACTTTCAGTTGTTTGTGAAATTTCTATTGAAATTTCTGGAAGTTGCAAATCTAATATTCCACGTCACGTCACAACCCTAATGAAAGCCAAAACCAAAAAAGTCAACAGGCACAGACAATATACCTGTATACATTTACAAAGGTCTAGCTGAAATTTTGGTAAAGCCTCTTGCCTATATTTTTAACTTATCAATATCAAGCATGCGAAATTTCCCAATGCACTAAAAAGAGCTATGGTAACACCTATATATAAAAGAAATGGCAACGTAAATGAAATCAACAATTACCGAGCAATCAACTTGATCAACATAATAGCAACAATTTTTGAACAAATCATATGTACTAGTTCAACAAGTGCACTAAAACCAAGCATTTCTATATTTCAACATGGTTTTGTAACTGGTAAATTCGACCGTCTCAAATCTTTGTGTATTATCTGAACATGCTTCCGAAGCAATAAATGAAAAAAAAAACAACTGGATATGATATATACAGACTGTGAAAAAGCCTTTGACAAGGTTGATCACGGGCTGCTCTTAGATCGTCTCGTTGCTATGGGAATATCATACTCCACATTTCTGATTCTTAAGTCATATCTGTTGATCTGGAAACTCCTTGTGAAAGTAGGTAGAAATACCTCGAAGGAATATGTAGCTACCTCAAGAGTGCCGCAAGGTAGTACCCTAGTTCCATTCCTGATTGTCTTTCTGAATCAATGGGATTGCTCTTCGCTGATTTCAAATTCATCAAAACAATATCCATCCCACAGGATTGTATCTCGTTACAGACATATATAAACAATGTCAATTTGAGGCTAACAAAATGTCAATAAACATGAAAAAGTGCTCCGTTATGACCTTCACACGGCAAACAAACTTCATTGAATATAACTGATGATGAAGAACTGGAACCACGGAACGATATCAAAGATCTTTACAGAGTGATATGAAGTTCAATTCACATTATAACAATTAAGGCATTCAAATCGTTGGGCTTTATCATAAGAAATAGTAAATCTTTCAAAATTGAGACTATCATACATTAGTGAGACCACATCTAGATTATGCAGCATAAATCTGGATGCCTTCAGCACACACACATGTAAACCACATCGACAAAGTGCAGATGAGGTTCTTACGATACCTTTATGTTAGGAAAAACAATTTTTACTCATATATGGTCCCATATAAGTACATGCTGGAAACCTTTGAATTCACGAGTTTGTTGGACAGAAGAAATAAACAGGCAGTGCAATTCATCTACTATCTATTAAATTATATAAAGTACAAAGAATGTGATCACCAATAAATAAAATGCTATCAATATGCAATCAAGAGCTCAAGCAAACACACATAGATATATTTAACATAAACGTGAAAGATCTACAAAAATATGACGTGTGAAACTATCACACGCTTCCTGTCTGTGACTGATTGTGCCTTACCTAGTTATAAGTTCAGTTGTATAGTTGTAATGTTGTAAATGTCTTCTGTATACTATCGTTACCTGTAATTACCTATCGGTGTTTGTAATGAGGCCAACAAATAACAAAAAAAATGTTTCCAGAGAGAAGTTCAAATGTTGGGTGATCCAGAACTGAGGAATCTAAAAGCTGGAGATATTATTCAGCTTCAAAGACGTGGATTTTTCCGAGTCGATGTTGCCTATAGACCTGTTAGTGTGAATACTTGTAAAGAACAACCAGTGATCTTGTTCTCAATACCTGATGGGCATGTAAATGACAATCCATTAGGTATTGCTGTCGCAGCTAAATCTGCCCCAGTGCAGAAGGTGAGTAAACAACCATGAAAATATCATTTGGCTGTTCTAATCTAGAGTTCCTTAATGTACTTGACACTGCTGTTTTGACGTTTTTTGTATATTAGAGTATGGACACTATGACAAGCACTGACAATCAGACATAACCACAAATAAATTGATGGAAAAAGCGTGAATTGACAGTACACGGACGTACATGACATAAATTTCAAAAGTTTGTGCAGTTTCCAACTGTGAGAACACGGGAAATCAATTCACTCTATTCGAATTTCCATGGGATAACGTAATTCTACAAAAATGGAAACAGAATATGATGCGGCGAACCCCCACAATTTATAAACTGAGGGAGTACCAAGGTTTACCAGTGAGGAATTCAGGAAACAAATAGAAGAAAAAATAGAGAGTTAGATAAAATGTTAAAGCAAAGAGAATTAGATACAAAAGTCAGAGTTAGCAAAATTCAGAACTATTAGCAACAGCAAATATCTTCAGAGAAATACAAGAAAATTGAACAAGCAAATATCCAGTCAATTTTGAGCAAAATTCATAGTTTCGATGAACAATACTATGAAAAACTTTTGCATTTGAAAAACCGAATGGAATGCACATACCAACTTCAAAAAACTCGTCAAAAAATATTCCAGATAAGTTTTTGAATGACCAAAATATGTTGAGAATTACAAGGATAAAGGGGGGGTGATACATTTAATTGGGACACCCTGTACACTGACCTAAATATTCAGAAAAAATGTTCCTTCTTCCCAGGAAAGAGCTTTTTTTGATTTCCCATGTAGCTATATTGAACGGATCAGGATCAAATAAACAGCATCAAAAAGTCCTGCTGCACTTTAAGCTTTTTTGAAATGATTGTTTTTCTGCTAGGAGAAAAATACACTTAAAATTGTGTATATCATATATTGATACTAACTGGTGCAACACTTTTTTGTTTATGTATATTTGGTGAAAGTTATATGAGAATGCATCCTTGATTATTGATACTAACTGGTGCCACACTTTTTTGTTCATGTATATTTGGTGAAAGTTATATGAGAATGAATTCTCGGATTCCTCGGTAGAATTGTTGTTTCGAATAGACGAGAACTACCATATGTTATGTAGTTCCTTTATATGTGGTAAACTAGTGCAATGATCTGTAGTTCCAGTTCCACGTAGTAGGTATCAGTTGAAAGTATTGCAGTTTAAATAAGGAATCCATTATTTGTGTGGGAAATATCTCTTGTGTGGATAAACATAATAATATTGGAAAGGAATATTCTCAGACATATTATCAACATGAAAAAAATTGCCGCTTATATTGAAGAGTAGCAACAACTTTGATTTTTTGAATGGGATACCCTGCATATTATTCCATTTTCAGATTCTTCCTGACGAGCTGATTTCATTGACCCATAACACTTGGGGTCTAGCAGTGACAATTACAGAGATATAGGGTGTGAAAAATCGAGATTTTTCAACTTTAAGATTTTTTTTGTGTCGAAACTATTCATAATAATTGGTCAAAACGGTTTTCATGTCCCTATCTCAACTGTTTATTTACTATCAACTGATATTTAAATGAAATAGGTACAGGGTGGTTCAGAATTAAGATTTTCAACCACACTGTATCTATTTCAATTAAATATCTATTGATAGTACATGACAAGTTGAGATAGGGACATGGAAAAAGTTTTGACCAATGATGAATAGTTTCCACACAAAAAGTTCCTAAAGTTGAGAAATCTCGATTTTTCACATCCTATAACTCTGTATTTATTACTGCTAGACCCCAAGTGTTATAGGTCAATTGAATCAGCTCTTCAGGGAGAATCTGAATAATATACAGGGTGTCCCATTTAAAAAAATCGAAGTCGTTGCTACTTTTCAATATAAACGTCAACGTCGCAACACCAAAAACGCCTAATGTTCATGTTCGTGAATCAGCCTATATATCATATAAAGAAATACATTGAGAATTCGCATCCCTATGTGACGACATGTTCATAATATGACTGAGAATATTCTTTTTCAATACTTTCATAAAGGGGTTTAAACTTGACCAATGGAACCTGTTATTTTTATAGACCTCTAATCGCAGATTCCTGATTGAGTTTTCTCAATTCAGAATTTCTTTCCACGTCTTGTATGATGAATATCAATTCGTCATACATCCAAAAACATAATGATAATAAAAAATTAAATTAATTTTAGGCTGCTGACAAAAATCCGACTGTAATTGCATCGCATGAAACTGCATCAGAAATCAATGCGGAGATAATTAAACAAGGGGATATTGTTCGTAAGTTGAAGGAACAGAAAGCAGCCAAAGGTGATATTGACGTTGCCGTGAAAAAACTATTGGCACTGAAAACGGACTACAAAAATCTCACTAACACCGACTGGAAACCGGGTTGCGTTCCTTCTTCTGTTGGATCAGTTCAGGATGGTGGGGTTCTGAATGAGAAAATCGCTGCCCAAGGAGATAAGGTAAAAAAGATATTCAGAAATTTCCATCTTCTTGTAATGTTTTATTCATCTCTTACAAGGATTAGAAATCATTTTAAGGTTGGCAATATGATAAATGTTCTAGTCTCGTTGATGTTTCCTCCTTTTTCAAGACATCCTCAAGAACTTAATTACGTCCACACCTATCCAATACACTTTAAATGGTTTGAAAATGTTCATTGAAGTATTCTTATTGGTGTTTGTATGCCAATTTTGTTGAAATAAATTGTAGAATTTAGAAAATAACAAAAGGACCAAACATTCATTGAGATTTGCAATATTTCGGATGAAGAAGATATATATTTTCTATACTTTTATGGATTTGGGAAAAAGTTTTGAGTCAATCGCTGATAGAAACAATAAAACAACAAAAAACGACAAATGACACTCAATTTGACAGTAGCATTGGGAAGGGTTAAACATTTTGTGCTATTTGTTGGCAGCAGCTACTATAAAATTGAGTGTCATTTGTCAAATGCATTGTCTTTTGTAAATGTCAATTCTGATTACCTGGCCCTTCCTGCTTCAGGAAGGGTCCAAGAAGTTGTTCTTCCTCTTATTTTCAATAATTTACAATTCATCAGTTTTTGATCTTATATAGGGTGCGTTTTTCATTCCAACATTTTGTCATGCACATGAATCGAAGACACAATGGAACTGTTGCAAAATTCCGCTGGAATATTGATGGAAATCCATAAAACTGTTGTAATAAAATGCTCCCTTTCAATTTGCTTTAAGAGAATCCAGCGGTTTCCAGGAGACATGACAACTGTAACATATTTTCAGTATTCTTTGATTTGATTTGATAAAAAACAAAAAATGTTGAGGATTTTTGAGATTATTGAGAGATTTTAGAAGATGGAGTTAGTGTTAATCAATAAAATCGTATCAGCATCTGCTAATTCAGAAGATACATGACAGACAACGAAATCGGTTTTTCCATCAAGTTGAATATTCCATTGCAGCATCGGTTCCATATTATAAGTTCAATCAGAAAATTCGTGACGTCACGACAAAAAAGCGCATCAATCAATGCGCAGTTTCTTCAATGGAATGAAGACTGAAGACACACCTGTATTGGACTCCGGTTATATTTTGGTTTATACAAATCTCGCCTTTGAATATACGATTTTACAAATCTTCGTCAGTGACAAGACACCAATTTTCTGACTGACTTATATATTGACATTTCTTGTCTCACTCATACAGGATGAAAAATATAATTGAACAACTAAAATGAATCAATGAAAATAAGAGAAAATATTCCACAGGAACAACACACATACATAGAAACGCAATGAATTTGACAGTGGCACCGTTTTTTTTTTCACATTTGACACATTTGCATTTCTTCGTAGCCGTCATTTGTTACAACAGCTTTTAGATTTCAGCTTCCAGTCCTATAATTTGTCATTTTTACATCCATGAACAATAGTCGCGTTTTTTGTGATTCCCTGGTGTATGAATTATGTAGGAAGGAAAAAAACGGCAAACAATGAAGAATGACATTGATGTGATGACAACCGTGTGACAATCACATACAATCAAAATGACATAATAATCATCACAGAGAGATCCGATAGCGAACCCAAGACGGAAGTTTCCCGAAAACACACTATCGGAATGCTTAATCACTTCAGAAGACTGAAATTCCTTCAACATTCTTGCCTCACAATAGACTTTTATTTTTTAAATTCAATAATTCCATATATCTTGTACATACAATAACACAGGCTGAAGGACCTCGTTCGGTGGCCTTCTGAGTATCCAATAAAGCTCCTTAATTATTATTATTATTATTATTCAAGATCAAAGTTCAGATTATATCAATATTTGAATCTTTGGATTGGATCAGTCGGATTGATGATATTGAATAATAATTTTGGCACCTGGGCTGTGGGGTAGGTACATGGGTGTATTTCTACTATGATAAATCAACAATCATTCCCTAGAAATCGGTGTTATTTGATATTATCAAATTTTGATAGTACCTATTCATGGAGAATATTGAGGTGAGCACCATATTAAATATGGAAAAAGAAAGTGCATTAAAAACTTTTATTCGTTGGAGAAATCTATGGATTCGTAAGATGACATAATTGAATCCAGGATGAAGAATGTTTCATACTGACCTTTTTGGGAATGTGTGATGAAGAAGTCCCAAAAAGTGAAATTTTGTATGAGATTGTTATACCAAGACTCAATACAAATACCTTTCAGAGCCATGAGTTATTCATGCACATTTTTCCTCTTTTGTTGGCTCATCTTTTCCATCAGTAGAAGAACTATTCCCTATTCCGTATCTACTATTTTTTTTCAAAATTTTTCATTACATCAAAATTAGTATGATGTTTGTCAAACACCCCTTTTTGTCAAACATTCCACCACACATTCGATGTTCTGAGAGCGAATGGCCAGTGGCACCAGGGTGATAAGAAATTCTACAGAATAGTCAATAAAACGGGGATTCTGTCCCACTGGTGACACTAGCAATTTCAATAAAACGCAACTAATGAATATACTTTTCGGCTCGGTCGTTCGTATGAAGTAGATATATGTATAGATTTCAAATACTGTCTGCTGCTTTTTCTAGACTTGTGCTCCAAGATGTAACTCTTCAGTCTCATATCTCATATAATGTGATCCAGTCCTTTCCTTTAAAATATATTTTGGAATAATTCACACCCTGACGTCATTATTCACTTGCCGGTAATATGAATATCTATATTTTGCAACGTGCAACTGTCTTGACTCTGGATTGATATTTCTAGTTTTTTTCATAGGTTAGACAACTGAAATCTCAGAAAGCCGATAAAGCGACTATTGATGATGCCGTTAAATCTTTGCTATCATTGAAGGCAGAATACAAAACACTTACTGGAAAAGACTGGACACCCGGGGCTCCCTCGCCAGCTATTACTAGCCAGCAGACAAACCCATCCCTGGATGAATCCACTATCCTACAACGCATATCGGCACAGGGTGAGAAAGTTAGAGATCTAAAAGCGAAAAAAGCTGAGAAAGCTGTGGTCGAGGCTGAAGTCAAAGTACTGCTGAGTCTCAAATCAGACTACAAAAATCTTACTGGAAAAGACTGGACACCTGGGACTTCCTCTCTGGCTATTACTAAGCAGCAGAACAATTCATCCTTGGACGAATCCACTATTCTACAACGTATATCGGCACAGGGTGAGAAAGTCAGAGATCTAAAAGCGAAAAAAGCTGAGAAAGCTGCGGTAGAGGCCGAAGTCAAAGTACTGCTAGGTCTCAAATCGGACTACAAAAATCTTACTGGAAAAGACTGGATACCTGGGACTTCCTCTCTGGCTATTAGTAAGCAGCAGACCAATTCATCCTTGGACGAATCCACTATTCTACAACGCATATCGGCACAGGGTGAGAAAGTGAGAGACCTAAAAGCGAAAAAAGCTGAGAAAGCTGCAGTCGAGGCTGAAGTCAAAATACTTTTGGGTCTCAAGTCAGACTACAAAAATCTTACTGGAAAAGATTGGAAACCAGGCGCAGTTCCTAGTGCTCCTTCTGTCCAAGAGTCCCCTGCTACTCCGATATCAGTTGATAACAGTGTTGTTGGAAATGATAATTCTGAACAAGAAGTGTCAGTTCGGATTTTGAAATCAGGTTGGTAGGAAAATCATCTTACATTCCCAAAATATACCAAGAGTACGATTTTTATTCTTGAACTTGTTACCTTTATCTGTTATGGACATTATGTTTATCAGAGGAATCTTCTATGTATACAATATCAATTCTTTAGGGCAGGTCAAGAAACATGTACCTACTAGAATAGGGGCAAATCACAACATTCTAGTGAATTATCACTTAAAACTCCGCACGCCAATATCTCGAAAACGAATAGAAATATTTAATATCATTAAGAAGTAGTCAATGGATAGGTTCTAGTAAATTTTGAAAAATTCAACGTCTTCTAACAGTTGAGCGTCGCGACGCTTCTAAAATATAAATCGATTGCATTGACTTCGAAATAATGCGCATTCAATCGTACCTGTTATTTATAAACTTTTTTGTTATTCACTCACTAATTTTAGTCATTTCTGAGTTTATAGTGAACGTTTCGTGATTGACAAAAATGCCATTACGGATGATTTTTGTGTGTAGGTCAATAGCGCGCGGCGGTCAATTTCACCTTTGAAAACCCCTGTATACTTATTATTTTATGAAAGAAAATAATTAAAATTTGAATAAATGAATATTGAGCTATCCTATATGGTAAGCTACGTAATTTGTCTTGTATTTATATTATATTATTCATTCCTGACAAAATATATAAAGCAACACATTTTCTGTGTAAGGTGTGATCCAGATGACAGCAGAACACCTCTTCATTGAAAAACAATAAAGTTACACTTTTTAAAATGCATCTGCATGTGACATATTCGGCACCCATTTCAAAAATCCATGCTCAAAGAAGAATCCATTCATTTTACAGATGATAGCAGCACACCTCTTCATTGAAAAACAATAAAGTTACACTTTTTAAAATGCATCTGCATGTGACATATTCGGCACCCATTTCAAAAATCCATGCTCAAAGAAAAATCCATTCATTTTACAACTTTTTATCCTCATTATAATTATAGAATTTATAAGTCTGTGTTTCAATTTTTACAAGTAATTTCACTTGTATTTATCTCTTCAGCTAAAGCAGGTAAAGAAAAAACGAAAGTAGACAAAGAATTGAAAGCCACTATGAAACCCCTGGATGCAACAAATGTTTCTTCTGCTTCTGGAGACAATTCTGGTAAAGATGCTCTAACACTTAAGATTACAGAGCAGGGCAATATAGTTAGAGATTTGAAAGCAAAAAAAGCAAGCAAGGTGAGCTTTCTGTAAAATAAATAATGTCGTGACTAAAAATTCTCGAACATAATTCTTCAACTTTATACTATAATATCATTGTCATCATCAAGTTTCATGCCTATCAATATTTCATTATTATTTTTCAAAAAAATAGTCAAATAACCGTCATTAGCCCTTTAATCATGGCATAAATGTTTGAAGCTTTTTATTTCTATGAAGCAATCATTGTAAGTCATGTGTTTATGTTCAATTATCTATAATTTTAAGGGAGATATTGACGAAGCAGTGAAGATTCTACTCGATCTGAAAGTCGAGTACAAAAATCTAACAGGTACAGATTTCCCAGTGCCAGGCAGAACTCCAACTAAACAAAAAGAAAGCAAAGCAACCGAAAAAACTGCCAAACCGAAATCAGTTGTCAATGAAAAGAAACCAGTTGTAAATATTTGTGTATAAGGCATTAACAATTATCATTAAAATTCATTCTTTCATAGGTGGATGAGAGTAGTGTTAAAAAACAGACCAGGCTCGGTCTGGAAGCTAAAAAGGAAGAAAATCTTTCAGATTGGTACTCTCAGGTCATTACAAAAGGAGAAATGATTGAGTACTATGATGTATCTGGTTGTTACATTCTTCGGCCCTGGTCATTTGCTGTTTGGGAGGCTCTCAGCAGTTGGTTCGATGCTGAAATAAAGAAACTCGGGGTGCAAAATTGTTACTTCCCCATTTTTGTATCAAAAAGTGTGCTGGAAAAAGAGAAGTCGCATATAGCTGATTTTGCCCCAGAGGTAAGTACATGTATCTGTTGTTATACAAGGCTTTTGTAATGTTGTTTTTCATGTGTTTAACCTGAAATTGGAGTATTCCAACTTTCAACTTCTATTTTGTCGGAATCACTAGTCACGTTCGGTATTCACATCGCAGATTAGAGCAGATTCTAGTCACGTGGTCACAGATAGATCGGAGCAATCGGCAATAAAAGAACGAAGTGGATATTTTGTTAACAGTGTGACGGTAACCTAACTTGACTCCATTTATTTCCATTTCAATATGAGTATACCAGAAACTGTGCTAGCTTTTGTTTCGGGACATCAAATTATTTTTGATGAGGATGATGAAGAGGAACGATGTGCTTTGGAAAAAGTTGAACATTTTGCCGATGAAACAGTGCCTCATTTTACTGACCTGCAATTCAAGCAACATTTTCTTCATAATTCTCATCTGACACCATAAAGGTGTGTGTTTTGTCTTGCTCAGAATCAAAAAGTTGTATTTCTTTCATTATGAAACCGTTATTTTGAAAATACGAATACGAGCACAACTGCCAGTCATACATAAACATTTGAACATTAACCTGACAAATTCAGGTCAATCGCTTTGCTCGGTCGAGCATTAATATTCTCCGAGCATTAAGATCTTTGTCAGATCGCTCCGATTTTAATTGCCGAACGTATGAGATTTTGAGATCTACTTCCCCTACATCTAGGTGTCATAAACGACCGATTCAGATTCATCGGAGCAGTCTGATGTAAATACCAAACGCGACTATTAATTTCTTTTTCAGACTCTGGAGATAAAATGTGTTAGATTCTGGCTTTGGCCGCCATGCATTTTTAACAACTTGTTTCAAGCAAAGCGTTAGTCAGAAAAGTATTTACATAATTACAGTGTTTTCCTAAATGTAATACATATACTATTCACAGGGAGTCAGAAAAGTATTTACATAATCACAATGTTTTCCTAAATGTAATACATATACTATTCACAGGGATTCCCGTTCGTGCACACCAAGGGATAAAAAAATAATTTATTCTATTCATTTACAATTATTTGTAAATTCATATATCAATTATATGAACAATAAGAATGAGACAAAACATTAGTATAGAATGAAATTAGTAATAGAATATACCAACATTGCCAGTGAATCTTTCAATTATTTAAGAATATATTATATCAAAGTCTAAAGAATTTAGTAAGTAATGTTTGTTTTTCAAGTTGAATTAATTATAGCTCTAAAAGGTAATAGGTAAAGATTGAGTTGTAATCTTAACATCAAGATTAGTGTTAGAGAAACTTTGACGTCAGCAATTCAGAAATCTCAGTTCAAAGTTGAATGTATTTGAACTTAATTTATGGCGAAGTTTTTCAAATTAAACGATTTCATTGATTTATTACTTGTTGTTCAGGTAGCTTGGGTCACGAGATCTGGGGACTCAGAAATGGCTGAGCCGATTGCTGTCAGGCCTACTTCTGAAACTGTTATGTACCCAGCTTATGCAAAATGGATTCAGTCATATCGAGATCTTCCTATCAAACTTAACCAGTGGAATAACGTTGTGGTGAGTAATCAACTATCTAACCAATCATTTGGTATTAATAAATCAACTCCAACAGAAAATCGAGGTTGTGCCAAAAAGCGGCATTCGTTTTCATCATGATTGAAATACTTTTTTCTTTGAATCTCGCCAAAAACACTGGAAGTTTTCTATTATTGGATACATTGGTGTGACGTTATGCCGTTCTCCATTTTGATTGGTTACTGCTGGACAGACCATCCTGTTGAGGAGTAAACAATCCTGACACTTAGTTCCATTCAAACGATCTCTTTAAAATATATTGTTTAATTAAATTAATTATTTTCCAATTTGGTTATGAAATTAATCTATACAAATACTTCCAAACTCTATTAGCTGATGAATTTGTATTTCCATCGCCCAGGTTTTTTAATGTTATTTAAGACAAGATTATCATTCGTCCTACGAACGTTAATTGATTTTCGTAATCCCATTCTGTTATTTTGATTTAATGGCATTCAGATGACAATTGAAAAGTTGATTTTAACAGCCTCCGTTCGTTGAATTTGTTTAACGGCCGGCGGCCGTTGTAATATTCGTGTGATGTTGTTAAGCCGTTCCATGACAACAGGATGTTGGGATTTCTCTGTAGATTTACGAGGAACGTGGTTTGTTCTTTCCTCGGAATCAAAATGTCATCATCCAGCGGATTTATTGACAATAGAGGGATCTTTTGAAAAGGAATATACTCAGATATATTCGTGGACACAAAAAATCTATATATATATTTTATAAAGAAATACATTGAGAATTCGCATTGAACATACTTTACACAAAAAATTAACACAAAGTAAAACTACATTATTACCACAGGTATTACACTCACAGTCAAGATTACATTATTAAAGCATTGGAGAACATTTTGTACACACTATACATATTCATTTATTTTGGTCTAGTTTAGTAGAGTTTAAGGAAGTTTTTCAACTTTCTCTTGAATATCATTATTGGATAACATTTCATATGGGAAGGGAGCTCATTATACAGAGTAACACCCTTGACAAATATTGAGTGTTGACCAGAGGTTGTAGAGAACCTCATTGATTCCAAATCATTGTTATGTCTTGTATTATGGTGATGAATATCATTTCTCCTGATGAAAGTTAGGTTAGACAGCCTCTCAGAATTAATGATTTGGTATATATACTTGGTATTTGTAAATACCATTTAGGGGCATATACATTCTGTTGTATATTTACAGAGCTAATTTGCGATAAAACAATATGTAGACTCATATATTCAATGCGAATAATAGCCTAACTAAACAGAGATATTATTCCAAAGACCAAAATGTTGGTGATCATCAAAGAATTTTCTGAACTAGATATGTAGAGCTTGTTCTTTTTCAAGGCAGTCACATACAGCATCTATTTCAAAATCTTTATCGTCAGTCAGTCAGTCAGTCAGTTTATCAACTGATATCTGCTGATACCATGTATCATTTGCCTGTGCCATTTTACATCTGGTGGGGTTTCGTTTCCTAATCCAAACCAAACCATCTTGACTCTCCTCATTTCCTTTTTCTACATCCTGAACTAATTTCTGGTACACTATTCGCGATAGAAAATAAACATACACCACCTATCGGAGTTCTTAAAAGCTGTCAAAGCGGCATGTTTACTTTGTTTTCATTGGTTCGCATTTGTTTTTTGTTTGTGCTGTGCTTATTGTTCATATCAAAACAATCCGCTCAGAAGTGTTCAAGTTGCTACCGTCATGTGGGACAACCTGTTATTTTCTATCTCAAATAGCACTAGCGTGTTCTTCCTCCATATCAAAACAGTATAGTCATCGTATCAAACAAAAACGGAATCAAATCGTACCTACAACGCCTAGTACTGAGAGAAATACGACTGAATTTTTTCCATTTCAAGAATCATGAACCTGCAAACCTTGCATTCTATGGCAGAGTCATTTAAAATTCGTATTTATCGGCATTTGCACGGATGGGTCTATTTCAGATGAAGATTTGTATGTAAATTATCGGGTTTTGCTCGAATCTGATGGTCTAGATACTTTGCGGGAAAAATGTTGAAAGTGGATCGGCTTTTGCATTTTTGCATTTTTGCAAATAAAAGTACGTTGGAAATGAAAAATAATCGATGGAATGTGAAGAACTCATGGTATTACCTTTGATGATTTTGATGTTCCAGAGATGGGAGTTCAAGCATCCACAGCCATTCTTGCGAACGAGAGAATTTTTGTGGCAAGAAGGTCACACTGCCTATGCCTCGAAGGAAGAAGCCGATGTTGAGGTCACAACAATATTGGGCAAGTTTTTTTCATGTTTTCTAATTTACCTCAAAGTTTTTAATATAAGATACTGTCTGTCAGTTAATCCAGGAAGTGGAATGTTCATTTCTCTAGTTTTTTTTGAGATCTCGCCTTATTTCTTGAAATAATAGTCATGAACTAGAAAAATGTAAATGAAGTGTTCCTGCATAATGCAGGGGCTTATCCAGCGGATGAATGGGGGAAGAAAATAAGGCTGTGTCAAGTCTGCGGTTTGACCGGGCACATACGTTCATTATGAAGTCTGACCATCAGTCTGACCAGCCAGCTGTTTGGTAATATCGGTCACGTTTCAAACATGCCCACAAAGTTATCACTTAACTTCTTATGAAAGTCGAGTCAGCCATTGACCATTCTGGTATCACCATTGTGGTCAGACGAATGACTTGACACAGCCTAAGTTATAGAGTCACTTGTTTCAGCAATACCAGAAGACATTTTCAAATAGGAATGGGAGCCAAGTGAGTCTTATACACTACCTGTATGAAATAAATATGCATATTGGGAGAGCAATAACTAATAATTTATGTTTATGCAGGATGGCTCGTGGGACTTTGAAAGACCATTGATTCCTTCCTAATGATTCTGGTATGTTGAAAGTGGTGCATTTCGGAGGGGGATGCCACACGGTTTCAGTCGGTATAACGGGGTGGTTCGTTCAAGAATGTGTTTTTTGTAGAACTCTCGGTTGTTCGATCGTGTGTAGCGTGCCTTCTGTTTAAGGTTGAATATCGCTCCCACAACCAAATTTCCGATCAAAATACTAATTGCGTGGGTTCATGCATTTCAGTTTATCAGAGGTGTGTCCACGATAAAATGAGTGCCTCAGAATACCGTCACTACCCCAGAAAACATTGAAAGTGCTCCAGCTGCAATTCAACAACCACTCAGGTGTTCAATTCGGAAACAGTTGGCATTTAAGGCGTTCCATTCAACGAGTAGTTAATGAACATCTTAATTTGCACTTCTTCAAGATGGTTGTCGTCCAAGAATAATTGAAGACAGACAATTCTCTTGGGAAAACATGCTGTTTCAAGACGATATCGTACATCTCACAGGATGTTTCAATAAATAGTTCCAGGACCTTGACAGTCTTCAGAAACCACATTCACTGGAATTCTTATGGCAATGTTTGTCATCTGGAACACAGTTAATGATATTCACAAAAAAAACTCCAATATTAACAACGCATTCAGACGTTCATCACCATGATACTAGAGGAGCAAAAATTATTAGATTACCTAGATATCGGCTCACTAAATCGAAAAAGAATTCAATTAACTATAGCCTATAGAATATTCTTCCCACTGAAGTCAAAGATATGAATAAATTCAACTTCAAAAAAACTATCAAATCATGTCTGATTGAAAATGCCTTCTACTCCCTTGAGGAATATACAAACTTCATGAAACAGGGTTTACATAATATACTCACAGTATGCTCCAATCTACCGATGAAATTGTGAACTGTTTTTTTTTATATTTTCTGTAACAATTAGTTTAGGAAGTCTATACCATATTTGGTCTTTATATGTTCTCATCTTATTGTACTTATTTATATATTTATTTTAGTAAAAATGTTTATTCTACCATGTGACCTGTCATAAATGTATTTGTATATACATAACATGATCAAATTAATGAATATCTGATGAGCGCTATTTGGATGACACTTTATTCCAAACCGTGTGTGAACTCAAACGCGTCAAAAATTGGATAAATTCATAACTATTTGTGTATTTTCATCGAGGTTTTATCCATTTTACAAAGCCATGCATCTGCTGCCTGTACTACTACTATTGTCTGATCTACTCCAAGTCGCAACTTCGGGTACATTCAGTGTTAAATTTTGTAATGTTGAGCTTGTGAATAAAAACAGTCCAATCGTCGTTTTTTATTCGGTTTTTCTATTCTTATTTCAGATTTGTATGCAAAAATATACACAGATTTGTTAGCAATTCCGGTGGTGAAGGGCAGAAAAACTGAAAAAGAAAAATTCGCCGGCGGTGACTACACCTTGACTGTAGAAGCTTTCGTATCGGCTAGTGGTAGGGGAATTCAGGGTGCAACCTCCCACCATTTGGGGCAGAACTTTTCCAAAATGTTCGATATAATTTACGAAGATCCCGAGACACAGGAAAAACGGTACTGCTTCCAGAACTCGTGGGGATTTACAACAAGGACAGTAGGTGGGTAGAATAATGTTTGAAAAAATTCTGATAGAAATACACTATTGTGTTTGCAACTTTTTTCCAATATTTTCGTTTTAAAGGGCTAAGCCTCAACCACCATTTTTTTAAATAAAATAATTATACCTACGCTACATTATGAAAATTCTCCCTCAATATATAAATACATTGTCAGAAGAAATTAAATAAAACAAAAAAAATATATATTGTTGTTGGCACATTGCTAATTTTCTAGAGAATTACATATACAATCTTATAAATGGTGAAATATTTTTTAGTGAAGGGATGAGTTAATTCAAAATTATTTTATTATTTTAGGAGTGATGATAATGGTGCATGCTGATAACCAAGGTCTAGTCCTACCACCAAGAGTGGCCTCCATTCAAATAGTTATTGTCCCCTGTGGAATCACGGCTGGGTTGTCTGAAAAAGCACGCGATGATTTACAATCTTCGTGTGATGCTTTAGAACGCGACTTGAGAGCTGCCAATGTGAAAGTTAAAGGAGACTATCGGTTGAACTATTCTCCTGGCTGGAAGTTCAATCACTGGGAATTGAAGGTAAAAAAAATGGATTGGACTTTTATTGAATTACTGTTTGAAAACGGTGGCTGGGAGGGAAAATTCAAATTGTGGCGAGGTGAATTTCACCCTGTCGATACGCATGTCAAGAGGGAAGACAAGTAATCAACAAATGTCATCAATCTGACAAGAAAATTATTATATATTCTGATTCAATTTTGACTCATAATATTCAGTAGTTGTGTCTGTTGTTTCCTCTATGCTTCTCTGTACGCGGTGAAGTGTGTGTACGAGTTAATAAAGTTCTACCCCTCAGTTATTTCTAATCATTGGAAAGAAACTGAAAACCACCCACGTCAATTGGCGCCCAACGTGGGGCATGTCCTAATACATAAAAAATCTAATTATCTGATTGTTTTCCTCGCCTATGAATTCATCAACTCATGTGATGGATATACTAAACTACATAAATGCATTTATGCAGTTCATAAATTAGTAAATTAGCTGATTTTGCGTTAGTGCTTGAAATGGACTTATTCACAAATTATTTATTTCTTTATTTATCAAACATATCTTCCAGTGAGAACAAGTTTTGGTATGAGGAAGAACATAATTATAAATTAATAAGTAATAAATATCTATGAAATGCACATTTTAGCATTAGTTATGTTGGTAAAGTTGAAGTTGTTTCAAGTGTCAATATGGGATACAGTATTCATCATTCATGGAGAATTCTCTTCACTTCCACAAACCACAACGACGATCCAGTGATGCGTTCCGATCAATTTCTAGCATTGTTCTGCATAATAAAGTTTTCAGTAATAATGAAAGTAAGATTGAGTAATATTTTCACATCCCATTTCATCTTGTCAAATTCGAATAGGTAGGTGTTAATTCCACTAAATACTACTGTTTGTGTAATCCACCTCATATAGTTCTCATAACTTACTACAAACACATAGAATAGAAACATGAGAATTTATTATTTTTTATGCTCAACCGTGATTTTTTGCCCACACATGCGTACGAGCAACTCAAATAGAGAACATACCAATCAGAATGATTGAACATGTAATGATGATTGCAGCCATCAATCATCAATATAATGCATTCATTTCCATATGTTTTCCAGGGCGTTCCGATTCGCATAGAACTTGGGCCAAAAGATATTGAGAAGAATCAACTAGTAGCAGTGAGGAGAGATACTGGGGAAAAAATAACAATTTCCCGTGCTAATGCTGTCCAGAAACTAGAGCAATTATTGGAAGACATCCAAAACAGCTTATTCCAAAAGTGAGGTGTTTTCCCTATATTTCCATTCAATCTGGATTAAATTAAATCATTTTTTCAGAGCAAATAACGATTTGGAAAGCCACAAAATCATCTTGACGGATTGGTCTCGGTTCGGCCCCAGTTTGGATAAGAAGAATATTATCCTAGCTCCTTTCTGTGGCAACAGCAATTGTGAAGATAGAATAAAAGCAGAGAGTGCGAGGTAATAAAATCTCCAGACTCCTCCATTTGGGAGCAAGATTATTAACGTTTAAATGAGGGATAACATCTTAGTCTCACCAGTTGGCGCTACTAAAATGTCAATGTCAAAGTCAAAAATCCCAAAATTTTGCCAGTTCGCCCTTAAGGTTATGGTATGTTTTATGGAAAATATTTGAGAAAAAGTATTTAGAATATTTCTGTGGTTCCTAATCGAACTTCAACACATAGCATCTATGCTATGGTCTGCCCCTACTAACGAAATCGTGACGTCACTTTTTACTCCGCGTAAATTCCTATCCGTTTGGAAATTACCGTGGCATTGTTGATGATTTTAGCACCTAAAAATCGACCGAAAAATTCTGAAAGAATATGGAATTGAAAGGTATTTGAGTGATGATTTCTGTTTAAGAAAAAAAAAATAGTCCACTCACCTATTGATCATTCTAGAACACGTGATTTTGACATGGTTTCTTGAGGGGCACACAAACTATCTGTTAGGTTACCTTTGATGAGCATAGCCCTGGCCATCCCAGCCACATCCACAATATAATAACAGTTTAACCAAACAAAGTTATGAAATCCTTTCTGGTTCCAACTCGGATTCCAAGGAAAACGATCTCACTAATTCTGGTTTTATATGACACATCTTGACAAAATACAATGTATGGCCCCTCAGCAACCTGTCAAATGACGTAATTCTGGAATGATTAATTCTTACATTGACGGAGAAGAAGATGACAGGAAAAGAGGAAGTAATTTCATCAGTTGCACCAACTCTGACCTCACGCTAATGTTAGCCCTCATTGTTGCCAAATATCTGACATAGCCTCCTACCTGGGGGACTCTTGAGACATTATTCAGGATTTCAAAATATGTATAGTTACTGTCAGTTTCAACTCAGAAGAAAGCATTGGAAAACATAAGGAAGCGGTGACCTTCGCTTTGAGTGGATTAAAATAGCTATGATTTCGAATTAGGCGCCATATTATATTTATTTCTAAGCAGCGCCACCTACTACTGTCTTCTTATTTGGAATATAGTATAAATACACTATTTGCTTAGGGAAGATTTGTTTCCATACTAAATCCAGATTTATCTGCACCATATTCACATCAACTTTTAATAGTCCAGAATCGACTTTTTCCAAAAGCAAAAGATATGATATTGTTGTTGTTGTTGTTCTTTATTACCCCAAGAAACATATTTGTTTATAATAGGGATACATAAACATATGATATATATATATATATAAAACAATAAAAAAAAAACTAATTAATAAGTTATGTCAATATAACATAATAATTAAAATAAAACCATTCCAAGTATTCAAATGAGAATAAATTGCTCCGTTTATTGTGTCATGAGTATATATTTTTTCATATTGACTTTGAATCTTGTTTCATCATCAATATGTTTCAAATCATAAGGTAATGAATTATATAAAATGATTCCGTTGTAGAATACTGATTGTTTGCCAATGATGGAGTTATATGGGTTTGCTATTAATGAATTCAACTGTCTCGTTGCATGGTTAGATATTGAAATATTTAGGTTTCTTAGTGTTTTTGTTAAAACATATTTTACCTTAGCAATTTTTGGGTATATCTGAATGCAAAGTTGGAATATTAATTTTCATACAAAATTTGTGCTTTTTAAAAAACTAGTATATTTAGTCTTACACAAACACTTATTTTGGACATTGAAAAACGGGGCTGGAAAAATTGCGTATTGCATCCTTTTGAATTTCAAATTATTGAAATGTTGGATATTTTGCCATTTGTATATGGGTGAGTATTTATGAAATATTTCAATCTTGACGATTTTCTAGGGATGATGGAGATAATGCTGAACCAGGTGCACCATCTATGGGAGCAAAATCTCTTTGCATACCACTTGAACAACCTGCTGACATAAAACCAACGGATAAATGCATTCATCCAGCATGCACAAATAAACCTTTATACTATACACTATTTGGAAGGAGTTACTAATTTAATTTGTGAACAATTATTTATATTTGATCATAATAATTATAAATAACACATAACATTTTTTTGTGAATTATAGTAGCATATTATTCACAATTTTTCTTTTACTTTCTCTGCGGGTCCAACTTCTTTTTTCTGGTCTTCTTTGTCCTGTGGTTTTGGTTTCTCTTTGTTTTTTTCAATTTCCTTATCGATTTTTTCATGTTCTCTTCTACATAATTCTTTCAGTTCTTCCTAATAGAGGTAAAGGTTAGATAATATAGTAAGTATTAAAATCAACAACTTATCAGCTGAGAATTATGGTGTTTTATATTGTTTTTTCGACATCAATGAGACGGATACAAAAAAAGTAAAAAAAAATAGTACAATGTTTTATTAGGATCAAAAAATGTGATATGCAAATTTTGCGAGTTGAACAGAGTCACTTTTGATTAGAATGAAACATGCTATTTTTTCTGTAATCGAAATAATTGATATTTCATTAATGAAATGTACCTGAAAATACCACTATATTGAGTCACTTGAGCATATCAGTGTCAAAGTCAGCTGTCATCCGACACGTTTTTAGTTCTTAGGAGTTAAACTTCAGCTTTCGCTCCTAGACACTGAAAGTGTTGCATATCAACATACATACTAATCATTTTATTGTGTCAGTAAGAGAAACGTCAACTTCAAGAGCTAATTTCGGAACCAAAATGGACGACTTTGGCCGATTGCCGAAAAAAATCATTCATTCTATATCCATTGAAATTTAACTTTTGTTTCAAATGCATTATAGATAGATAGATATATAGATATAAATTTAGTGATTTGAAATACTTTCAATTACACTCGTCAGTAGTATACAGGGTAATCATTTGAATACTTGTAGAATACAAACAAATGATAATAACAAATATAAAACAAGTTGAGACAAACATAAACATACTCAAGTAGGAAGCTTTTTACGGTCGATAAAATGGAGAGATACTGTGTCACTGGGAAGGTCGGTATTCCGTGTTAATCAGTAAATTCGGCACATTGGTATTCTCTAATAGAATAAAAATTGAACCTCAGTAACATCTGTTTGATTGACGTTTTAAATTTGGTGGTATTCTGGTCTTTATAATTATCGGGAAGTTTATTGTACAGATCGACATTTAAGGAGTTTCTATTTCTTGTATGGTAGTTGTGTATGTTATTATGCTTAATAAATAAATGAATGTTCTCGTGAATCTCTAAAAGACAATGAAATATAATTATATAAAGCTGGTAAAGTCATAATATTCAATTTAGAAAATATCTGTCTACTAGTGTCTACATGCCTCCCTGGGTCCTGCACCATAAATTATTCTGACGGCCTTTTTTTGGAGGATAAATATCCGTTCAGCCTGTGAGGAGTTGCCCCACAAGGTTATTCCGTAGACCAGATGTGAATGGAAAAGTGAGAAATACGACATTCTGATGGCCGTTGAGCTGAATGATTTCTTCAAAGTTCTTAATAAAAAAAATTGAGTGGACAGTTTTTTACTTAATAAAAAAAATTGAGTGGACAGTTTTTTACTTAGATAACCAATATGGTCGTACCATTTGAGTTTACTGTCAAGGGTCATCCCAAAGAGTTTAACATTGCCGTGAGAGACATCTTTATCCATAGAAGAGACCATTTTTTTAGTTTTCCCTGGATTGTTGACGAGTCCATTCAGTTTAAGCCACTTGTCTACTTTGTTTTGTGTGGTGAGATCATTTTGTTGTAATGTGGCAGTACTGTTGCTTGAGTGGAAGAAAGTAATGTCCGCAAAAAGAATGCAATCGGATGGGTGAAGGTGATAGAATATGTCAGTGACATATATTATGAATAGGAGGGGTCCAAGAACGGAGCCTTGAGGCACTCCTATCGTTGCTAGTTTAGTTTCGGAAACTGTTCCATTAAAAAATACATATTGTTGTCTGTCCTTTATGTAAGACTAAAAAAGTTGTAGGTATATAGTATATTATATTATAGTATATTATTATGGTTAAGTTATCATACCAAATTGAATGATTATTGTAATCAACATCCATCCATTTGATCTTTATTCTACTCATTTGAACAACAAGAAAAGTGGCTCAACTATTGTGCTATATCTCTAAATATGTTACCGTTCAGTATTTCCACATGAGTGTAAAAGAGCTGAAAGTTAGAACTTCTCTATTTTCTGATGTCAATTGTATAGATATTTAGGTTATGATGAATACATTATTTTGAGTAACAAATTCAGCGATATTTTGAACAAAAAATTTAGCACTTACTGGGAGGTTTGATTGAAGTTATCTGAAGAATGGAGAGACAGATCATTACCAAAATCAATGAAATATTTTGTCCAATGTCCACGACAGAAGTTTATTATTATATTTTTAATTTCCACAATGAATTTTGATTATTTGTACCTGAATAAAAGTATTATGAATAAATTATTAATCAATTTGCTGCTATGTTCACACCTGTTATTCCAGAAGACACTCATATGAATTTTAAACTTTGAAACCATCTGTAAATTTCTATTCTGGGATATGGAATAATATCATTTTCAGTTCAGTAATAACTTATAAACAGATTTTTAGAACAAAAAATAAAGAACACACTGAAGATTAATCAGAAAACGCTATAATGAGCATCATGACTTACTCCAAATCCCAGCTTATCAGCCAACAATTGACATCCATCATCACAGTCACCCAACCATAACACATCCCTAGTGTTATTTTTGGAGTCAAAGTCCATTCCTCCACTCATTCCCAGCATAGCCATCATGCCTGTACGATGACCTGCCTTCTCTCGGTTCAGAAGAAGTCTCGGGACATCATTAGGAGCCCTAAAATCAATTAAAAATCATAAAATGAATGATATATGACAAAACCATGGAGAACATTTTCAAATAACTATTGAACTTTCTACTACATATACTATATGAACAATCTGTTTATTATATTGAAATGGAAAATAAAAATCACACCCAATTCTGAAACTGGTTTATGGAAATAATGGGAATGATTGTCATGGGCCATGTTGACTCCATACTGTCAAAATGCTCGCATCAAACGTTTCAGTGGTTTTCGGTTAGAGATTGTTAAGCTCTAATTCATGTTTGAAATAAAAATTTTGAATGTTTTAGATCAACAACAAAATAAGTTGAGATACAACCATAATCTCATAATCACAACACAAGAAGTAGGAAATTTACATAGAACCTTGAACACGTGACCAGAATGTTCAAAATTTGATTGCATATTCAGGGTTTTCCCTTCAGTACAGTGTACTTCAGAAGTACAAATGGAATCTGCAACCAAACCATCGGACATAATGCCAGCCAGGCTGAGTTTCGATCATACACTTGAAGTGGTTATAAAAAGCCGCCCTAGGTACGGTTCCGCTGAGCCTCAGCTGGACAGAGGGTCCCTTGTTTGGTACACCGATGGTTCGAAAATGGAAGAAGGGGTAGGCGCGGGTGTATATGGACCCGGATGTAGGCTATTTGAAGCCTTAGATCACTCCCCCACTATCTTCTAAGCTGAAATACATGCCATCAACCTTTGCGCCCAAAGGTGCCTGAGCAAAGGTCTGAGGGGTGCCAACATATATATCTGCTCAGACAGCCAAGCCGCACTAAAAGCCCTAAAATCATTCGATTTCACATCAAAGATTACATGGGGCTGCTTTGAAACACTCATGCAACTGGGAAAGGGCAACAAAGTCACACTTATTTGGGTTCCAGGGCATGAGGGAATCAAAGGAAATGAGGCAGCTGATCGCCTAGCAAAAAAAGGTGCAGCATCTGCACTTTTTGGTCATGAGCCTTTTTGTGGGATAAGCAAATGTCTCCTAAAGGGAGAACTCAGGAAATGGGAAGAAATTGAAAAGTCCTCCTACTGGAGAGCAACTCCAGGTCACCGACAAGCGAAAAGGTTCATCAACCATTCGCAGAACCGAGCCAAAGAGCTACTCAGCCTCAGCAAACCAGAGCTAAAGCTTATCACAGGCTTTCTCACAGGACACGGCCCTCTGAGGTACCACCTCAAAAAGATGGGCCTGGCGGAGACTGACACTTGCCGCTTTTGTAACAATGCGACCGAAACCGCGGAACACATAAATTTATCATGTGAAGTATTAGTCCGCCAAAGGCTGAACCACCTAGAACAGGTCTATCTCACCCCTGCTGAAGTAGAAAATTCAACAGTCAGGAAAATCGTAGGCTTCACCAGAAGTCTAGGTTTAGAGAACCAAAACTAGATAGGGGTAATCACAATAGATCTTCCAGGTCGCAGTGATCGAGAGGTCTCCCAGCCTATACGACCCATCTACAATCTTCAGTGAATAATTGACAGCCGAGGGTTTTCTTTCAGCGAATGGATGATTATATGGGTAAGTGAACATATTTCGTCAAACAATTTTGTTTGCATTTTACTGTTATTATATGTCTCACATGACAATATATTTTATTGATGGATCTAATATCAAAAATACCCTGCAGAGAAAAACATAAAATCTCTCAAAAATGAAATCACTGCAGTGGATTTTATTTCAATAGGAGCACCCTGAACTGTATTTATTTTCTTTTTACTCCAACAAGGATATAACTTATTTTTAATGCATAATTATTACCTATCCACAAGAGATGCAAAAGGTTGAACAGCCAAAGAAGATCCCAATATAATGAGTAATTCACACTTTGGAAAATCTGTAGTTAGCAGCTTGTGAAACTTTGTAGGCAATGATTCCCCAAAGAAAACAATATCGGGTTTCACAATTCCTGGGCAGTTTTCACAGATAGGTGTAGTATTTGCAAAAATCTTTACTAAAACAGAAATGTAATGAATCTTTGTTAATACTGGCCTGAATATTTTACCCACTAACATGTTCGTTTCTTGGGTGATGAAAAAGAATATGTATATCAAATATTGGAAAACTATACAGGGTGGTATATATGGTAAACCTTGATCAATCAAAGTGAACTCAATGAAACACCCCATATACAAATTCTTTCTACTTCTATTATGACAGTTCATTAACATCTCATTTAAACTGTGGAGGTGTTCTTTTACCATATTGCTAAATTCACCAACTGATGTATCACCATCCAATGGAATGTTCAAGGAATCAAATGAAAGTACCATGCAGACTCACCAATCCACACAGAGTATGTAATGAATTTAGCAACATGGTGTTAGTTACTTATAGGAAGAACTAGTGTATTGTGGGTGATTGACTGAGTTTCACCACTCTACAGTTGATATCTTGGAAATGAATCAAGTTGTTCCAGGTTTTGAAAAACTTAAGCAATGCATTCTCCCTCTGAGAAAGTTGGCATTCATGAGTGATTTCTGAAAAACAAATTTGAATGGGATGTCATTACCTTTCAAACTATGAGACATTTATTTCATTCCATTTTTAAAGAAAAAAAGATTATTTTTTGAAGGAACCCCCTGTATAATAAGAATAAGTGCATATATTTGAAAATATCATGTTCTGATTAAAAAATGTACATGTATTATATTTTTTCTAAATTTCCCTTTAGTATGCAGAAAATCTTCATCCTATTGAAACAATAGTAATACACATTCAGAATTTCAATGCTTGAAGGTGAAATAAGATAAATGTAACATCCTTTGAACATGGCATCCCATTTATCTGTTCTATGAAATCTCAGATAAATTGACTTTTTCCCAGATATTAGTTTTCAGTCATGAAATTCATAGTCAATACCGAAAGTGCAATCAGATATATGAAAAAAGTTAATAAATCACCAAAATCTGTTACATGTTTTCGAGGGTTGATGGAACAATTAATTTCCCATTCAAACTTTTTTTTCTTTTATTGTATTCTTTGAATAATTTGACCTCATCAAGCTTTGAATTAAATTGGTAAAATTGTTTTAATTTTCAATTAGTCTTTCTTTTGGCTTCCTTCACAACTATATTATATTAGGTGGAAGTAAGTGGATCTTATGGTATGTTCACTGTGCATAGATATTATTTATATCCAATTTATATTCAATTCCAACTCAACACTCTCAACAGCTATATTTCCCATGAGAAATTGACTGAATTAAATACATAATTATGTTAAATGAAATGAAAGGAATGCTTGTACTCTCAAGATAAGTTAAAATTATATACAAGTTATTACTATGAACAGACCATCACTACAAAAATACACTTTTTTATCTCCTTTTTATTGAGCCTGTGAATAATCATAAGATGAAACTTTCAGAATAAGGAAATAAGAAAATCTGTTTTTATATGAAGATTCTTATAATAACCTTTCATCCAATCTTGACTGTACTCCTTTCCACATTCTAGACAGTGTCCTGTATGAAAAGTACCATGAGCCTCTACAATTTTTTCTCCAGGAATTCCAGCTACTCTCTCAAGGGTATCAATATTTTGTGTGTAGTGTCTCAAAAGCATTTCTTTGTCAGCTAACAGTTTTATAAAATAATGGCAAACTGTAGGTTTGAAAGTACCAGGATACAATTCTTTGGCTAGTTCAAAGAAAGGTTTTGGGTTTTCTTTAAAAAAATCCAATTCAAATATAGCTTGTGGATGGGGTAGATTGTACTTTTGTAAATTATGGTACAGTCCTGAGCCTGGTGATCGAAAATCTGGTATCCCTGCAGCTATTAAAGAAAATATTTGAAATATAACATAGTATTCATTAGACTCCAGTATCATAAATTTAAATTAGAAAAAAAAAATACTTACAAGTAGATATCCCTGCACCAGCCATTGTGATTATGTTATGGCACTTTTTATTCTTGATGTAATCAACTATACCATCCAAACTTAAATCATCTAAAACCTGAATGAATTGAATTAGGTGAACAAAGTACACCTTATTCTCTGGAAAGTCCATTCAAATAACATTACCTTTAAATTTTCAGAATCCCCAGTACTCTCTTCTGCATCATAAAACCCCAATTTTTCTGCTAAATATCTGCGAAGACGATCCATACTCATCCCAGCTGTGCTATCTTGGCTGCTATTAGCAACACTAGATTCTGATGAATTTTCCTCTAAAAAGATGAAAAATTTTTGGAAACTTCTAGTAATTATGATTGGTATTTTAAACCAGCAGAGGATACCTTTAGATTCCGGTGAAGACATTGTAGACCTGCTGTAGACCAAAACTCAGAACTCAGTAGAAAAGAAAAAAAAAGTTTTGTAGACGACCAAAGTTTTGTTGTCTTGTTTATCAACAATCTTCTTCTTCTTCTTTTAGTTTTCTGACTCCTTGCGGTGTCAATTCCACCCATATATCTACTCTTAGATATGATCTAAGTATCTACTACTTATATATGAATAATAGCTGTCCTCAAAGCGGGGCCAACTTCTGTCTCTATGGAGATAACTGAGAGATAACGAAATCGACCAATAGGCGTTGATGCCGACGTAGGGAAAAAATAATACAGAACTTGTCAAACCAATATGGCTGTTTCCAATCTTCACTTTCCGTCCTTGAAGATTCAAAAATACCTCTCATTTTGGTCTCATTTTTGTTGAGATATCGAATAGGCAATGCGCCATGGCCATGAATTATGGAAATAGATAGTACATATATGATTCCACGATCCGGTGAGTTTTGTTTTAGGGATGGTGATCTTTTAAAAAGGATCGATTCTTGGAATCGATCTAGATTTAATCGATTATCGATCGATAATCGATTTTCAGTAGAATCGATCCTCAATTTTCAACAATATACATGAAGAAGTGTGAAAAATATATTGACTCCTGAAAATATGATCATGGAATGATCACAAATCACCTACTAACTTGACAGAACATTAATAATTATCATTTTATTTGGATAGCTCTCGTAGTTGAGTGAAAAAACTCGTTTCTTATAATAGTCAAATATGCTATTCAGTGTGCATTTTTGTTCGATTCGATTTTATTTGAAAAAAATCGATTCACCTAAAGATCGAACTAATGGTTTTTTGTTACCACTTGTTCATGACACAGTTGAGATGTCAAGAGTCACAATGTCAAAATCATTATGACAAGTGACGTGACAACAAATGAGCACGGGAAACGGGAGTGAGGTTATGTCTATGTGATTTTTCAGGTGGCGAGAAGTTAATGAAAATAAAAATATTGATTGTGTAAAATTTTCTTATTGTTGTTAGATTAATCTACTTTGGAAATATCGTGTTGTTCAGAGGTGAGTATATACCTAGTTTTCAAAATATGTTGAACTGCTTCCATCATTAAAATATTCTGCAACAGTAATAACGAGAGAAATAGTCCTTAGTGTATTTGTGAATGGATAGAAACACAACACAATTATTTCATAACTATAATTTTCTTGAAATTTACACAGTGTATTTCATATGAGATGATTTCATAACCTTGAAGGTGGCTTGAAGACTGGATTATACTACACTACAAACACTACATTATTACTATATAATGTACATGGAAGAGGATTGAATTATGCTTGTGCATCTGCCACAGATTTGTTAATCTGTGCATCTGCTAAATGCGACTATATATATACCTTTGATATATAAATGATGTCCCTAGTCATAGATAAACTGAGTGTAGTTTGTTTATGAACCTAGTATTTTCCCATTTTTTATTTGAGATGACATCAGGTATTTTTGATGAGTAGGTATACCTGAAATAATATTGCAGCCACTTATCATTATTATTATATCATCTACAAATTTCCACAGAAGAAATGTAGCCCTCTTGCATTTTCAAAATACTGGATTTATTTACTGATGACCACTGCTTCATTCTCATCCATCTGACATCTGCCTGATTAATCCATTACACTGTGTTTTAATGAAGATATTGTGCCTATTTTCCGAAAATGAAGGTTTATGGAACCTTTCCACAGGTAATTCTAATTCTTCAGGTTGCAGGTGATAGCCCTCGTGATTTCATAATCACTGAGATAGGGACATATGGTCTTCAAGTGTTCAGTTCTCGAAATACAGGGTGTTGAAGTTGAGAAATTAAAATATTTTTTTCACAATATCTCAAGAAAAATTGAATATAATACATTCAAATCCGGTATATGGTTTCATCTTTCAATGGTTAATTTTTTGACCAGAAAGACATTCCGAAAATTTTATCCAGAGGTGCACTACAGAGGGTTGTGATAACTTTTCCTCCTATATTTTCTACGCCTCTGATGAAATTTCGATTATATCCAATTTCTCGAATTTTTGTTCAATTATGTTGATGAAATGCATCACCTTCAACTGAGCTAAAAATCTAAAATTAACAGTTATCGAGATATTTGACCCAAAATTGAAATATGCATAGTAATTTTTCATCTTCCTCAATGGTAGAAGATTACAAAAATGTTTGTTTTCTCTTCATGCGTGGAATAACTATTTCTGTTTAGCTACAGAATGAGATCTGCATAGTATCTACTATCTAATCTACTCAACACCAGAAAAATATTTTTGCTATTTTGTACTACTGAAAATGATGAAATATTACTATGGAAATCTTCTATTTTGTGGCGAATATCTCGAGAACTGTTCATTTCAGCTCAGTTGAAGGTGTTGTATTTTTTTAACAAAATTGACCAATGAATTCGAGGAATTGGAAATAATCGAAATTTAATCAGTGGCGTAGAAAATATGGGAGGAAAAGTTGCCATAACCCCCTGTAGGGCACCACTGGATAAAATGTCCGGAATGGCTTGCTGGTCAAAAAATGACCCATTCAAAGATGAAAACATATACAGAAGTTGAATGCATTATATTCAATTTTTCAACAACTATTTTTATTCTTTAACTTTAACGCCCAGTATCTCCAGAACTGAGCACTTGAAAACCATATGTTCTTATCTCAGTGATTATGAAATCACGAGGGCTATCACCTGTCAAGCGTTGTCGGTCGAATTTCGCAATACCCTGTATACAGGGTGTATCTGAATGACACCGACAAAATTCAAGGGATGTTTCCATGTGACATTCTAGCAAATAAAGTTCATATGAACATGTGTCCCAACTTGCTCCGTTTTTGAGATACAGGATGTTCAAGTTGGAAGAATTGATTGTTTTTATTTATAAACCCCTGTATAAGCTCTCATTGTGTCAAAATTCAGTATGGATGGAGACTGAGAAAGCCCCAAAATTTCAGAATGATTCTAATTGGGGTTATTGAGTAATATCAATGGAAGTCTTGAAAACACATACATTAAAATTTGGAGACAAATCGAATTTTCTTGAATTTCTTCAAAAACTAAGCTGAATACAGAAATCACACAAACGATAAAACAGTTTTTATTTCAATAGTTCAATCTAATAAAATATGAAACTCAGAAAAACCGCTGGTGTACAATAATGATATTCAACATGAATATGGATACATTTACCCACTGGAAATATTATTTCGAATCTAATTGCACTAGAAGAAGCTCTATATTGAGAAATGAATAGAAGAAAGATTTTTCGTATGTCGAATGAAGCAAGTTAGGACACATGTTTATATGAACTTTATTTCCTAAAATATCACAAGTAATCACCCTTCGAATTTTTCCGGTGTTATTTGGATACACCCTGTATATATAAGTTTAGGCAAGCCAAGGTTAGCTCATTTCATAGTACCAGCATAGATTAACGACTCCCCGGGAGTCGTTAATCTATGGTACCAGTATTTCACCTGATGAACTACTGTGTTAGTGAAACATGTCTGTGAAGAATTTTGAGGAAATCTCATCGTTTGTGAAGTTTTTACATTTGATGATGATGAGGTTGTATTACTTTCCTGATTGTATATACAGTGTGACCCACTTCAAATGGAACCACCCCTGTATCTCATGTAATCGTTAGGTAAGGATCCTGAAATTTGCTGGGAGTGAGAGATATACCAAAAATGCACTCTATGACAAAGTGGGGTCATCCTCAGTGATATACACTGCTTGCCAACAACCATGAAACCAACCCAATTTCTGGAAAATGATATTAGGAGTCAAAATAGGTTGAACATCACTTCAGATTCGGAATCAGGACGCCCAATACACTAACTATTCATATTTTTCCTGAAAAATTTTCAGTTCTGAAGAATCAAATTTTGTCGCACTGTTCACGGAAGCACCCTCGTATCTTACGTAATTGACTTTATCTTTGGACTTTCCCTTCCTCCTGCAAATTTCAGAATCTTACCTCAATAATTACGTGAGATACGGGGGTGCTTCCATGAGAAATGGGACAAAATTTAATTTTTCTGAACTGAAAATTTCCTAGGAAAACTATGGATAGTTAGTGAAGGGTGCGTCTTGATTCCGAATCCGAAGTGATTTTCAACCTATTTTGACAAAGCGGTTTTGGACATTTGTATACATGGCATTTTGCAATCATATTGGCAGTTCCTATATAAATCCACGAGTTTTGTTGTCGTTATCTCCGGATACCCTGTATATCTAGTAAATACCAACCTAATCAACTGAAGGACTAATTAACTCTAGCAATACCATTCAGATAAACTGGACAAGCCCAGTCAGCACATCCTTTCGTTGTTAAACTCGAAAGATGTCGAACAGCACTATATAAAAACTCCTTCATCCATAGAACGGCTAGGCTCTGGAATTCATTGCCTGAGGAAGTATTCCCAACAACATAATCTCCAGAAGTTCAAAAAAAATTCCAATACCTACCTCCTATCCCTATCCTCCCTAGGAACGCACGATGTTCTTTGAACATTATAGGGATTTCCTTTCGAGCGCTCCAAGCGATAAAAAAACAAAATAAATAACCGAGTAAATAACGTTTATTCGTCACTTACCTTTTTTATTTCAGAGCACAGATACCAGAACAGCGCATGTGTAATATCGTGATGTCTTTTTCCTAACCTAGCTAACAGTCTACTGAAGGATTTCACGTTTTCCGTTAACACAACTTGGAACACGTGGCGAGCGATGACGTAATCGAGATATTAACGCATGCGCAATTCATTGCCAATAATGCATCATAATTCCTTGCAATGCCACGCAATTCCTCGTAATGCCACACAATTCCTCGTAATGCGACGCAATTCCTCGTAATGCCACGCAATTCCTCGCTATGCCTCGTAATTCCACACAAGTGTACACCAAAATTCCTCAGCGAATTTCCCCTCGATTTTGTCAATTTTCAGACTATAAAATATTTTTTCCACACAACGTGAACTATTGGGGATGAAATTGAAATAAAATTAGCTTCCGGAAATGTTGATCTTTATTTTTACATCCATGCAACTTCCCCTCAAATGATGGTACGGTAGTGTACCCAATTTCATACAAAAATATTGTAGTCCCAAATCCTTCTGAATGTGAATTTGTTGCAACAAACATAGGTCTACGGATCTATCTATATGAGAATTTATCATCTGGGGTACTTGATGAAAAAAAAAAATTGACAAAAATATTGAAATAATTTAATTTCATGGAATTGTAGTGCATTCAGATTTTTTAAATTGTCACCTCTAAAAATCTGAATAGTAGTCCCTATTGTTATAAGAAGGTGTGACTACATTCTGGAGCAACATTTTTCATGCTTCTAAATTCAAAAAAAGTTTGTCACAAATTAGATGATAAATACAAATTATAGGGAGGTGTCCTGTTTTCAAACAGGTCACACCTCGGGTCACACTGTATGAGTGAAATTGTTTTTCATTGTGAATTTGTAATGAATGGACTATAGTAATTAATAAATCACATTGAAAAAATTAGTATCCTTGTATCTCTGTACAAATTATCCCATATTTTCAGAAAATAATGCATCGTACAAGGAGATCTGTGAAAACAGCACCAATAATTGAGGACAGTAGTGAAAGTGAAGATGAAGTTCCCGTCAAAAAACCTCGTGGAACTCCTAAAATTAGAGGCAAAAATAAAAATAAATCCACAAATCATAGTTCTTCCTCCAGTGAGAGTGATATTGAAAACTATTTGCAACCTATTGATAAACTTGATTTTTCATCTTCATTCTTCAACACTGAAAATAAAAATGAAACAGAATTCAAAAATATTGAAAAAGGCATATTTGCTGGTGTCACCAGGCTTAGTGAGTCTTCTGATTCTGATGAATTAGAAGATGTAAATGAGACAACAAAAGCTTCATTATCAGTGGCAACCTCAGATGAAACGGAAGCACAACCAAGTACTTTCACAACAGATGTGAACTTCCAACAATTGGAAGATTATACTCGTAAAATTGAGGAAGCCAAGAAACAAGTAGAAAAATATAATGCAAAGAAAACAACTGAAAATAGTTTAGATATAGGGCACCTACTAGCTGCAGGTGAATCAAAACAAGTAACTCTTGAAAACATAAAAGAGGAAGACTTACATTCTAGCGATTTTGAGTCTACAGACGATGAATGGGAGGAAGTTAAAGTCAAAGAACAAACTGAAACTAAAGAAAAAGCAGCAGTACCAAAGGATGGCATACAAATTACCGTTGGAGAAATGCCAGATCATTGCAAAAAGAAAAAAGGTGTTGATCTCCTTGCTGCGATGAAACGCCGTCTAAATCGAATAAGAAAAGAGAATCAAGTGTTTGTCCATAAAGTACATCTTCTATGTTGGATCGCACATGGAAATTATGTTAATAGCATTTTGAATAATACTGAACTTCTTGGTTTAGGGCTCTCCTTATTGCCGTCTGACAAATGTTACCCATCAGACAGAACAGACCTTGGCTATTTGGAACAGATTGTCCAGTGGTACAAGAAAACTGTTATACTGAATGAAAAAACTGCTCCAAAGGAGTTGGAGTTAGTAAACCTGATAAAATTTCAGATCAATAAAAAACAAGTTTTAAATAAGAAAATGTACGTATTAATTTTTGTTATAATACTCAGAGCACTAGGAATTCAATGTAGATTGGTAATGTCTCTCCAAGTAGAGCCCTTACGTCCCCCTGCTAGTGACCTTCACACTTTGTCCAAAGAAAGTGATGAAAAAAATCCAAAAGGAAAAAAGTCAACAGAACCCATAATGGAGAAGAAATCAAGTAACAAGAAATCAGAAGTTCAGAATAATAAAATGGGAAATAGGTTGAAGAAAGAGGATGTTAAGAAACATACAATCTCAAAATCACAGGATCAACATGTTCCAGGCACTAGCAAAGTGATTAATAGAAATCTCAATAAAAATAAAGATTCAAATACGAAAAAAACTGAGAAACCGATTGAGAAAGACAAAGAAAGTTCTTCAAATAAGAAAACAGAAAAGCAAAGTAAAAAAACTACAAGAAATTATTCAAAAGTTACAGGATCTGTAGGTCCAATGCCTACAGAAACTGCCCGATCCACTCGTTCATCTAAAACGGTTTCTGATATACCTAAAAACAAAGGAGAAGTCAAAAAAGATATCAAAAACAATTTAACTGTAACCGATGAGAAGAAGCCTCGTATCAAGAGTAATTCTGAAGCTCCATCTAAGAAGAATGCTGGCAAAAAAACAAGATCACTATCCGGTAGTGATGTTGGTAATCCAAAAAAATCAGCACAAAGAAGAGTAAGAAAAAAGGATGAGGTGCCTCAGTTGGATGGGATGAATGACTCCAATGATGATTTTTCTGATGTATTCAATATACTTCAACTAGATGGAGCAAATGATAAAGAAACAAAGAAGAGAACATCTCAAAAACCTAATTTACAAAAACTTAAAGTGGTAGTTGAAAAACTACAACCAAATCGAAAAAAAGTAAGAGCTGAATCCGATTCTGAAAGTGAATTTTCACCAAGTCCACCTAAGAAGCTCAAGAAAAATGCACCAAATTTGTCGAAACTTAAATCACCAGTAGGCATAACAAAACAATTGGATGTACGAAATGATATTATTAACCTAATTAAAGGTCGCATAGCTGAACAAAAACATGTTGATCGTAGTAAGTTAGCCCGCAAGTCTATAAAAAAATCGAAAATCCCAATCCAAGATAGTGATTCCGATAGTGACTATATGATAGATCCCATTGAGAAGAAGCATCATGATAGTGATAGCGATATAGATTATTTTGTTCCCAAACCTAAAGTCAAGAGGAGGATTGACTTGAAAAAAGATGGAACAAAAATAATCTCTAGCGACAGTGATTTAGATGCTGCTGGCAAGAAGAAAAAGAAAGGCTTTAATTTTTGGGTTGAAGTATATTTGGAATCTGAGGAAAAATGGATATCGGCAGATGTCACAAGAGGACAAGTATACTGCATCAATGAAATATTCGTGAGTCCATTATATTGTTTATTTTGCTTGTTCCACTTGCCTAACAACTATCTCGACTGCAATGTCAAATCTCGTGGTCATATCCTATCAACCTTGAAATCTGTCAAATTGCCCACCTGGAAACGCTCCTGCTCGAAGGGCAAAAACTCCCAAATTGTCATTCATGATTCATGACATCGAGTCATATTTATAGATGTTCCGAAACATAACTAAATAGCTCATTCGACTGGATTGCACTGATGCGGTATAGATCCCTATTCAGCACTGCACTGACTTCGGACATAATTATTCTTTCAGGTCGAAGATGCATGTCGATTATTCGAATTATTCTGGCACTGTATGGATGAAGTTCAATATTCACTATGAATATATTTGACTGGTATGTTAGGACACGACAACGTGCTGTTGGTACAAATTGTAGGAGAGAAATCACAAAAATATATAAACGAAGAAATAAAAGACTTTGCATAACAATAAAATTCAGATAACTTTTCTATTTAAAACTTTTTCATATCTATTTATCAGTGTAGTATGCATTGTTCTACTATTATTGTGTGTAGGTAGACTCAAATTGCAAAGAAAATAATTCTTTATCGAGACCATTGATTTATCGGAATAATTAAAGCTTATTTCTTATTCTCGAGAAAGTTATATTAATCTCGAACAACGTTTAATACATGCAATCTTCTGCTTCATTTATTTGTACGACTACATAAATCTATAAACTAGCAATTATTGCTGAAGCTAGATCTAATCAACTTTGAAATCAAAAAATTGTCAAATTATTTCTCAAATTTCGAAGTATGGAGAGAACATTTATTATTGGCGTCACAATAAGTATGGAAATATTCTGTGACAAGAGAATAATGCAATTTTGTCATTCGCTACAAATACCTCCTATTCCAATATTTAATTGCAATTTCGGGGTATTATTGATTTTCTGCTTTCCTGTTTCACCCTACTTCGATTTTATGAATTCGGAAATATCATTACCTATTGCTATCGTCTTCGCTACTATAAGCTACTGTACCAACTATTGCTCGAAAATAGGAAATCAATTGCTGATAGTTTTATTACATTCATTTGGAAATTTGAACATAACAATGTGAATAAACACCCAATATCTTTCAGCATTTTTCAGTTCGTGACTTTGGCACCGTAAAAAATTATTGTGTCAAAAAATATGAGAATTAACAACGAACGCTTTCACTAATCGAACATAAATTCAGCTCTACCCTTGAGAAGTGCCTGTTCAGCTGAATAGAAATGATATTGGTACCTACTGTCTGAGTGCATACCAGAGGTACACACACGCACGACAAAAGTTGGAATTGGATGCGCAATAGTGCAGCCAGTCGAATATGCTATAAGATACATGACAGGTCCTGAATGCGCACACTCCATTGAACCACGTTGGATATAGTAAATTAATGAGCTTCGATCTTTGGCATTCGATAGTTCATATACAGGGTTGCCGAATTAATAAGTTGGTTGTCAATAATTCATAAATTCTCAATTATGTATTGCATGGTAATATTCCTTATCAGCAATAAAAAATCAATTGTCTCAAAATGTTCCCTCATGTGTTGTGGCTTATTGCTCATACTAACTTTCTGTAAATAATAATTATATTAATTCACACTAGAGGACATTTGAACCGGTGAAAGTGACATCAAACGGCGCACGAATTGTGGGCGTGGTCTCAGTTCTCAGCATTCAGCACAATGTTGCCAAGTCTCCAACATTTACATGATGTTTTGTTATGGAGTATGAGAAATATTTGGACAATCTGGTTGCTCAAAAAATTTCAGAATGATTATATTTTATTCAACGACAGGACAGGACTCTTAACATATTTTTGATAGCTTGATTGTATTTGGTGACTTGGCAACTTTGCTTCATGAGTGGGAATGGAAGATTATCTGACCAACAACGAAACAGCATAAACACTGACGTCACCATTTATTCGACGTATCGCCAAACGGCGGCTTGTCTTTACTACAAACAGATTTCGTGCATGATGTATCAAACATTTCATTTCAAATTAACATATCCTTGAATATAGATTTAATGGTCATAAGATATTTCCATTTAGTCAAGAGCTACACATCCAGTGTCCTACATATTGGCATGGAATAATGACAATACCCTAAAAGACGTTACTAGAAGGTACTGCAAAAATTTCAATACAATCACTAGAAAATTGAGGGTCGATGAAAAGTGGTGGGAAGAATCTTTGAAGCCCTTTAGAGGCAAGACGACAGCAAGAGACAGGGAAGAGGATGATGATCTGAATCGCCAGCAACTAGATCAACCATTACCAACAGCTATTTCTGAGTGAGTCAAACAATATACAGTTGATTCAAAATACATTTGAGAATTTGTCATTTCCAACCAGACTGAATTTTGCATTAAAAATGTCTAAACTGAGAGATCATGAAGAAGAATCCATCAATATTTCCAACTTGAACATTCTGCTTCTCAAAAAACATATCAATTTAGGACACCCTTCCACCCAACATATACCTTGTTTCTTGAAAATTCGAAAATTTATATATTACCAAGTTGAAAACAGTTCCCTTTACATTTCCATTGTGATATACTATAAATGTTTTCAATTTGTGTGTGTACCAATAGTTTGTTCACATAAGAGCTAGTGTTTTCACAATTTTACATATAAAATACAATGAATTTCAGTTCAAGTTCATGGTCTAAATGAAAATTTCAAAAAAATACTCGAAAACATGTTTAAAAACGAGATTTGGTATTCAAGCCGAGTCTTAGAGAAAAGAAGGAAAAGTTGACTTTATTTGTCAATTACAAAGATATGATGAACAGAGTACAATAGGTGAATGATGAATAGTGAGATGACCAGATGACCCAAGTGGTATGGAACTTGTGTGTTTTCGATGCCTTAGCATACAGAATATGCCATTTTTTTAATGATATGTTCTATTATATATTATATGTTATATTATTCAAGACTATCCATTGAAGAATATTTTCTTTCACATCTTTATATGGTTTACCTTTGATTTCTACTGGTAACAGGTTGAATAGTTTTGGACCAATATAGGAGATATGTTTTTGGGTGGCTGAGAATCTATTAATTGGTATTGTCACATTTTTATTCTGTGCTGCTCTAGTGGTATTGTGAGAAATTATTTTTTTATATTGAGTATTTTTCAATATGAATCTAATAGTTAGTTGCTTTTACAAATAACTGCGTATTTGCCAGAACTTCCGCATCATAGTATAGTTGTTCTGAAGAAAACGTTCTTTTTTTCCCAAGCATGGTTTTTAATAGATATTTTTGAGATATACATAGTGATGACAATATTGTTGAACATGCGGCTCCCCAAATAATAATTCCACTCTGTGAGTGCTAAATAAATTACTTCCAGTGTTTTCAAAGGGAAAATGTTGTTTCAGTTGATAAAATTTACACATGAGTTTTCTTATCTTGTTGGATGTATAATAATAACATCTATGTATATACGAAGCTATTTCCTTTCCTCTCGTTTAATTAATGAATTGCAATTACAGTTATCATCAAACTGGCATGCATTCTCATGGATTATTAAAGTGTTTTTTTAATGGTGTTTTGAGAAACAGATGAAGTGGTTTTTTCAGTATTTAAGGTGAGAAGGGTATGCCTCCAACCACTCTTTAACTTTTGCCATAGCCGGTTCCGCTTTTTTGAGACTTATGTCCCATGACTGTTACCTGATGACGGTTCAGCATAAGACCATGTCACCATCATTTAATAATGTGGTCAGACTATTTACATATGTATATGGAAAACAAAATTGGGCCTAGAACAGTCCCTTGTGGCACACACTTCATAATATATGATCAAAATAATGTCTAAAGTAGAGAGTATTCAATAGTTCAGGTTGAGATTCATTTAATTTTTCAGGTATAAGAACCATCCTTTATATGCACTCAGAAGACATTTACTCAAGTTTGAAGATATTTACCCAGCCGATATCGCACCAATTGGGTTTGTAAGGAAAGAAGCAGTTTATCCAAGAAACTGTGTTTATGTGTGCAAGTCCAGGGATATTTGGCTGAAAGATGCCAGAGTTGTGAAACCTGGAGAAAAACCATATAAAATCGTCAAAGCCAGACCAAAATATGATAAAGTAAGTTTGTCTATTCCAGAATGGAAAATGTTAGTTGGTTTAATGCTTCAAGGAAAAAAACTATTGTTCATTGTTCAATCTCAGGTTTCATTCATGAGGAAAATTATCGTCTTATCCTGATGCCATTTGTTGATATATTTGTTTTTTTGTTTCAGCTATCCAACAAAATGATAACAGATCAACTGTTGGAAATATTTGGTCCATGGCAAACTATGGAGTATGAACCACCTACTGCACAAAATGGCGTTGTTCCTAGGAATGCTTTTGGCAATGTTGAATTGTTCAAACCATGCATGCTTCCTAAAGGAACTGTTCACCTAAAATGTAAAGGTTGTCTGATTTGTCTATTGGAGATAAAATTCTTTTTTTTTTAGTGGCTGGTCTTAACAAGGTTTGTAGAAAACTGAATATAGACTGTGCAAGTGCTATTGTTGGATTTGATTTCCATGGTGGATGGAGTCATCCTACCTATGATGGGTTCGTCGTTTGTGAGGAATTCACTGATCAAGTAATTGCAGCATGGGAACTGGTATGCATCAATCTCCAAAAATATTTTCAATGAACAATAAATTTGTTTTCACAGGCATTTAAATGTGAATAATATTCCAAAATCCATTTAATCAATTCAAAATGTTCATTTCTGTTGTCATGTTTTATGATTATTTGAATGTATGATTCTATACTTTTGTTCAGGAACAAGATGAGATTGAGAAGAAAGAGAATGAAAAAATTGAGAAGAGAGTATATGGTAATTGGAGAAAACTCATAAAAGGGTTATTCATCCGTGAGAGACTCAAGGCAAAATATGATTTTGGTGGCGAAAGTTCCAGTGTTCCAAAAGACAAGAAAAAAACAAAGAAACCAAGGATTCAGAGTGACAGTGAGTCTGATTGAAATCTCTTCTGATTATGAAATGTGTTACCAACTACCTCTAATATATTAAGATTTTACTTACCTATTAGGTGAAATTTATCCCTCTTGAAAAACATTTTTTGTTGTATTACATTATAGCAGGTACCTGACATTTTTCCATCACATACTATTAATTTGAAATGCCATTTTTTGCTATAAAAATGGCAAGGAATGATTTGTGATTTTTGTAAGATATTTTTGTAAAATCTGTTTTTTTTCCTCAATTCTGAATATTTTTTTGACCAGTATGTTTTTAATGATACCTATGTTATTTGTTATGTTTTTAGTTATGTTTCTGCTTAGTTCATGTATTTGTTATACAATTGCACCACCATTATTGGATACAACACTAATTATATATATATTTTCCAGTAATTGATGAGTTTTTTGTCATTCAGGAAACTAATCGGGATTGTGGGGCACATAAATCATATACTAGAAATTTGATCCCACAATTTCTGAAATATGCCTATATTTTTATAACAAAACAATAATTAGAAACTATTAATTGGGTTTATGTTTTTTGAATATCCTATATGTATTTTTGGATAACATGTAACTCAGTCCAGCTGCTACTGTTGAAACTCCAGTAACATACCTGAAATTCATATAAAATGAAAAATATTAATTGGCAGCTACTGATGAAATATATGATAGTTGTTACCATAAACATTCTAAAGCTGGATGGCCAACATAGTGGAAAACTGGTGCTGCCAATGTGGAACCCACAAGTAATAACTGAACTGCAGTGTTGATCTTACTAATTAGAGTGGGGGCTAACTGAGCAGTTGCATGAGTAACATCAAAGTATCTACTTAGAGTACGCTAGACAATGAAAACACAGTTACTTTTATACCTATTGTGAATATTCTTTCAACATACCGGAGGTGGAAGAGAAAGATATCTTATTATGAATCCAGCTGTAACTAGCAAGACATCTCTAGCAATGATCAAACCAGTGAGAACCATTGGTATTAGATCTACATATGTTAATGTCAAGAATAGTGTAGCAATCAAGACTTTGTCAGCAATTGGATCAAGGAAACTTCCCATTTTGGAAGATTGACTTCTCCATGTTCTGGCTATCCATCCATCAAACTGTAAAATTAAGAAGAGTTTTGACTATGTTCTTGCTCAATTGAAGGAGAAATCAACATTAGAATAACTGTATTAGAAAATTAGAACTTCATATGGATGCTTACTACATCTGTTGCACCTGCAATTACTAAAATGGCCAGAGCATAATCAAACTCTGATTGGACTATCAGCACACCAAGATATGGAGACAACAATATTCTTGTGATACAAAGTAAATTGGGAATTGTATATACATTTTCTCTCTGCAAGTAAATCCAGTAGATTGGGAATTTCAAACTTATAAGTATATACACTTACCTCTATCACTTCTTCCACTTTTTCTTTAACCTTATCCCTAGTTTCTTTTATATCTTGTATGATAAAAGTTCCTCTGTCTCTCAATCTTTGTTCAGTGTTCCTTAACTTGTTCTTATTATGGTCATAAATACTTTTTAAATCTTTAGATATAATTTTACCACTTGATACCTTTTCATCTGCATTATTCTGATTGTTAGAGTAAAGATATATTCTGTGTTCTAGTAGTGGTACAAAACAAGATACTTGTTTTAGAAGGGAACTTTTGTTGTGTAAAAAACTGAAGCGGTTCCAGTTTTTTGTGAATAGATACAGTGAACTCATTTCAAAGACTTCTTCACCATGAAATGTTCATCCTGGAATTCGAAGGAATACCCTCAAAGTACTAATCTGTGAAGTGTTGAGACCTATCTCTGAATAAGAAGTATTTTTTATTCACATGATTCTGTGTGGTATTTAGATTCCTGCATGCCTTGTTTATTTTATTCAGAAGTAAAAAATGAATAATATTTTAATATTTATCTGAGGAACGTAGTGAAAAATAAATAAATACAAATGAAATAACGTTTGGAAAACTAAATTTTTTTCAAATTATAGGTTAAGAAAACACGTCAGCTTTCTTCTTTTTTTTTAAGGGTTACCTTTTGACTCCATACTCCACAATTGTATACTTTAAAAAAGGTTAAGATTCACTATTCATATGTAGCTGCCGCGACACAGTACCATGGTTTTGGTTTCAAATGCCACATTGAAAGAGAAGATATTTAATCGGGGTTATGTGTTATGTTAAGTGTCGGGTTATGAGTTGTTTTGTTTCACGTCTGCTTCGATTATGATTTAAATTGTAATGAAATATAAGATTACAAAATAATGTTGTCATCTTATAAACTTATATGTAATTTATGTAAACAATGTCCAGTGCGATACATCAGGACGTCTCCTTGCCTAAAGACTTTTTGGGAAAAGGATGACAAAGGAGGATACAAAGATAATCGACAATACCCTTCTTTGAAGGAACGAATGAGAGGTGGAATTAAAGAACTGAAACATGAAATTGCTTTGTGGAAAGAAGAGATGAAAGAAAGACTGGAATCTGACCCCCTCTTGATTTTCAGACCTGGAGAGGTTGATGTTCAGTGGCAGTTCAATGATACAGAATCTTTGAAGAAATGGATTGTTACGGCAGATAGTGATAACAATGAGGGGCATAGTAATTGTTCGTTGACGTTAACAAGTGGAGGAAAAGGGATATTTTCTGGAGAATTATCTACAAGAGCTCCTAAGGATGGCCGAGTGAAAAGGTCTGGCTATTGTAATATTAAAACTACAAGAGCAAGAGTAGGTACACTGCTTTCACTTATTTCATTATTGATTACTTGTACTATTGCTTGTACTTTTTGCAGAAATCTTTCAGAAGGGATGCCCATTTAGATTGGACAAGTTATAATATGTTGGTTATGAGAGTTAGGGGCGATGGAAGGTCATATTTATTAAATATACATACAAGAGGTTACTATGATATAACTTGGAATGATATGTACCACTATGTGCTCTTTACAAGAGGAGGGCCATACTGGCAAGTAGCAAGGGTAAAACATTATCAATATATCTACCTGAATTTGATTTGAAAGGTATTATATTTTTAGATTCCATTTTCTAAATTTTATTTTGCATCCAAAGGACGTATTCAAGATAGACAGGAATCAATCCCTTTGAATAAAATAACTAGTTTTGGTATAACTGCTGGAGAGAGACATGGGGGTGAATTTTCATTAGAAATTGATTATATTGGATTAGAGTTTGATCCTAACCACAGGGAGGACTTTGCCTATGAAATGTATAAAACTTCTAAATATATTGTTGCTACATAAGAAAAAATATATCAGTTGAATTTTAAATTAGAAGCATATTTTTCTGAACCTATGCTGAGCAAGTTGTATATACCTATAAATGCTGTACAAATTTGAAAGTTTGGGTATTATGCATGAAAAATATTTCAGCCACATCCGAATTGAATCTTGGACAAAAGATGCAGGGACATGCTTCTTCATAGTCCATTTGCTGGCTAATGTCAGTTTGCATGTTTGGAATTGAAAATGAAGAGTGGTGGACTCTTCAAGAATATCAATTTAACTTATTTTATCAACTCAATTGAAAGTATGCCTTTGCTACCTCATTGAAGGGAACATACCTGACAAGTAACTCCCTCCTAAGCAGGGGTTAGCAAATAGGGCCCATCGTGGCCTACTTGCTTGGCTACAGCCTCCCCACCTACTACTACTACAACTCCCGCGGAAAGAAACAAAATATTACCTTCTGTGGGAGGTGAAATGAATTGACATCAGAATGCTCCATTGTTGTCAATATACATCTAAAAGATCTGTGCAATCCAAGTACCTATAACCAGTGTCTTCATCACTATTATGACTATGAGACACATAACTATTTCCTTCTTTCTCATATTTCAAAAGTACTTGCTCAAAACTTTCAAATGCAATTACACAATATACAATAATTAGAGGAATTTATGATAGCAGATGTATCATGTTGATTTCTGTTCAGTCGCATAATTATACTGGCATTTTGATTCGGATCCAGAGACAAAATGATTGAGCACAGTTTAAAGAATTATAGGCTTTCAGGTTTTTGTGTATGGGAAAAATATACATACTAAAATATCCAATGTATACCACAGTGTCAGTAAAGGTTCATTTCAGCACCCTCACACAGGAAGAAATGGATAACTTTTTGCTCCCTCAATAAATAAATAAATAGCTATCATGGTAAGACAAGTGAATTATGTGATTTATAGATTCTGATCTAACTACTTTATGATGGAAAGTAAACCCAATAATTGAATAAACTCAGTTTATTAAGCTTACTGTTTTGGTGTTTTGTTATAGGTGATGCAAAACATTTTCTCTAAAATCTAGAATGAGTCTTCGGTAACTAGGATACCCCCGAATCACGGACAGAATCCGGGCCCACTTGGCGGTTGGGCGCCGACCCCTCTCCTGTTCATCCTGCACACGTGCTCCTCCAGCCTCAGAGTGGCCTCTTTGATATCCGTCACGTTCTCCGCGGACCACAGTTTCTCTGCGGCAGCGCTAGCCCTAGGCCACACCCTCGAAATGACGTTGAATTCGTTGACGACTTCCGCCCACATGCAGGCTTCGCCTCCTAGGACCAGCTTCTTCTGGCTGTCCACACCTGTGAAGTTGTAAGGTTCGCAGTCATAGAACTTTTGCCAGTCGCCATTGCTGGCTACGTCGTCGAGGTACCAGCAGGCTGACAGGATGGCGGTTTTCCCTGAAAGGGTTACCTAGAAAATTTGCAAAATGTTGACAAAGAGGAACTGTTTGAGTTTAGTGTCTGCAGAAGGGTTTGATAAGTGGAGTTAGGGGAGGTAAGTGGGACACACCAACATAAATTACTAACTGGACCGTTAATGCCATAATATCAAAGCCTATTCATATAAGGGATTGAACTTGGCTTCAATGATCCGATACATTGAGCCGTTCCGTTTCCGTAGTGAATCCTGACATGTTGCCTATTTACAAAACTGGATTGCGAATGGTACCAATGATTGTCGCATTATCACATGTCGCCAATAAATCTCCTGTAAATTTCAGGATGTTACCACAATTGTCGTCAGTCGCCAACTCCAATTTAATGTCGCACTTCACCAAAAAAATTAGCCTCAAATGCGATAAACCGCCACACCTGGCAACATCGAGTTTCTGACCGTCTTCCGTATGCCCTCTTATTATTCGCGAAAATCACAAAGTGTGCGTCCTCTGACGGTGGCTAACTTTTACAAGTCTTGCGAGTATGAACAACAAATATGGCGACCATTGTTTTGAGTTTCTGTGTTTTTTTTTGATAATAATTTATTTGTTGAAGTGCATATTCCAGAACCTCATTTTTCCCTGATGGAAAAACTCGAATTATTGCATGAACTTTTATTGTTCACAATGAAGAAGCCAGTACCTACCTTATAATAATATAATATACATTTTCTGAAGCAAAGTTAAAATCCTTGTATAAATGTTGGTTGAAATGATTCAATCTTGAGAATAACTTCAAGTCTTCAATTGCTGGACATCCTTGTTTATGTAAATCAATGATATTGTTCATTCTGAGCAGCCTCTCCAACCATATCTTCTTTTCCCAGCCCCTTCACTAGAATTCCATCTCCTCCATAAAAGCCAGTGAGATTTCTTGATGAATTCAATTATTTCTTCATATACCTATACCATATTGTTGTAATAGCTGATTGGTTATATGGCTCCATTCCAGTCCATGCAAGTGTTGAGTGGACCATTCCGACCATTCCATATGTTTGAAAACTGTGGAATTGTAGTGTGATATCAATGATGAATACCACCATTGTCCACATCAAAATGGCAATTTCTCTGCACAAAAAGAAATTTTTTCCATGCTGGAAACCTTGTACGTATTTCACGAAGTCAACTCATTATTCACTATTTTGCAAAATGATTTCGAAATAACCAATTTGCAATGAGTGCATACGGCATTTACGGCAATGTTTTTGTTGTTCATACTCAGTTTGGAATTTGACGTTGATTTGACGTTTAATAGAGCCATCTATTGGTTCGTGATTTTCGCGAATTGTTCGTAATCGCTTGGGTTTCCGGCCGGTGGAAATTGGCACCGTTCTGCGTCGCCACGGCTCGAGTGTCGATGGCTTGCGGGTCGAAAGCAATGCTTTTCCCGAGGCTTTTTCGCTCAATATGAATTTCTATTGATCAGCGCAATTGCTTTGCTTTTATTTAACATGGGATGCTATATTCTTATACAGAGTAAAGCGCCAGTAGCGGCGGCGCAGCGGGTGGATTATATTAGATTTTACGGATTGTATTGCATTATTATGAGTTGTGAGAGTACTCAGACATATAGTAGATCTATTTTTATAAAAAAATATAAATGTATCCGCAAAGGAAAATTGTGAAAAAACTGTATCCATAATTTGAATTTTTCTGGGGTAGGCAATGCTTTTATGCTTCTATTGTATGCATGCCGCTGATTTGAACGAACAGCCGGTTGGCACCTCACCTCCTCACTGATTTTTCAGGGGATCCTGAATCCCTTCCCATTCCTCTCCAGTCAGATTTGATTTGACTAGGCCTACTCTATGATGGAAAATAAACCCAATAAATGAAGAAACTTTATTAAGCTTATGTTTTATTACAGGTGATGCATGGCCCGAAACATTTTTCTCTAAAATATTGAAGTCTGAATAACTTCCGGAATACCCCCGATTCATGGACAGAATCCGGGCCCACTTGGCGGTTGGGCGCCGACTCCTCTCCTGTTCATCCTGCACACGTGCTCCTCCAGCCTCAGAGTGGCCTCCTTGATATCCGTCACGTTCTCCGCGGACCACAGTTTCTCTGCGGCTGCGCTAGCCCTAGGCCACACCCTCGAGATGACGTTGAATTCGTTGACGACTTCCGCCCACATGCAGGCTTCCCCTCCTAGGACCAGCTTCTTTTGGCTATCCACACCCGTGAAGTTGTAAGGTTCGCAATTATAGAACTTTTGCCAGTCACCGTAGCTGTCCAGGTGGTCGAGGTACCAGCAGGATGATAGGATTGCGGTTTTCCCTGAAAGGGTTACCTGGAAAATTTGCAAAATGTTGACAAAGAGGAACTGTTTAGTGTCTGCAGAAGGGTATGATATGGAGTAATAAGATGAGGTAAGTGGGACACACTCATCGATCGACATGCATTACTATAACTGGACCGCTAATACCATAAAATCGAAGCGTGTATAATCCGGACCTGTCACTCACACTTATATTTCCGAACATCAATAAGAGACACGACCCGATGTAATAAACGATAGTTTTGAGTTTTCATATGGAAAATTCTCAACTCCGCCTTGACACCTTCTTTGTGATTGAATTTTAATTTTCATGAATACTCACCTTACTCACTGTTGTATTCACAATCAAATATCGCAATGAAATCTACAAAACAGCTTATTTACCCAGAAAAGTACTGAAAACCGACTATTGCAGGCATTTGAAATTCAAAAATATATCAGAACTTGAAAAATACCTATGAAAAAAGTCACAGTCGATCTGTAATGCAGACCCAGCTCTCCGGCAGGGAACTGGAACCTCCTGCCATTCTAACCTAACTTTCTGTCAGTTTTGGTTCAAAAATACATATAACATTTATATGGTATTTTCGGAGGTGAGGCACCTATTACAGGCCGTAGAATATAAACGTTACTATATACCTACCGGGTGACCCGGAACCAATTTATATACCGACCGTTTTTTTTTTCAAAGTCTTTATTCAAAAAGTTCACAGTCTGATCTTACTTATTAACTCTGTTTTCGACGCTATTTGAAAATTAATTCCAAAACACCACGTGACTGGAACTTCTTAATCCTACACATATTTATTCCACTACTACTACTATGTTATTACTATCCTAATCTGATCCTCATACAGTTACATGTTATTGTTAGAGATATTTTTTCCAATTCAGTTTTAAATATTTTTCTGATACTTACCGGTTTTCCTCAGAGCCACTATACATTCATTGAGAGGGTTATTTAAAGTGATGTTCGTTCTTGTGGGCTAGATGTATTTATTCTTTTGGTACCTTATTTTGTCTCATGTTTTCCAGTAGTTTTAATGCCATCGCAGTGTCAGATGATGACTGACTACTGTGACTATATGAAAAGATAAATTCCTACGATAACCTGGGTATACAGGTTTGACAATCGATAGCAAAAATTGAAATATTATACACTCATTTTTTTGTTTTGTGGTGGAGACATTTGTTTTCATTATACGAGGTGTTAAAAGTTCGCATGAATTTTTGGTTTTTATTTTTTATCTCTGTTGAAACAAAACCTAGCGATTTG